GGTTTCTGCAATGCTTACTGTGCTCACTGTGTGTGAGCTCGCCTGGGATGCTGCTTTTCCTCTAGTATCCAGCTCTTGGAGTTCTAGCTGCCCTGAGGAAGGCAAGAGATTTGAGTTTATGTAGTCTGCAAGTTACAGCTCAAATTTAGATGCAAGGGCAAGCATAACTAGCTGTATGAATGTATCCTTCCTGGTTTGTTTGAAATTAGCCCTGTAAACACTCCAGTACTGAGGTGTGCATTCATTCAGATGCAAGCTGACTCTGGAGTTTCTCTCTGCAGTGTAACCCTTATTCTATGTCTTTGTTAGAATGACAGCTCTCTGAAATCAACCAGAAGATTGGGGCTTGAAGGACAAGTTCAAGGCATCTTTAAAAATCTTTTTTGAATTTGTAGTACAAGTTAGATTTTTGTAATGTAGTTTTCATAAGGGACGTTTTAAGAGGAGAAAGCATTTGGAACTAGGAATGTATTAAACAAATGTCACATTTATTGAATTTGAAAGCATAGTCCTGGTCATTTTTTCCTCACAGTTCAGCTTTCAATTTTCATAGAAAAAATCCCAAATATTTAAGCTTGTGGTTATTTGGAGTTCCAGGCACTACTAGCATTAGGCAAGAAACAACCAATCTGCTTTTCATGGAAGATTCAGTTTTTGACTGCTCAGAGGTAAATGAGAACTTTCAAAACTGCAATTAAGCAACAGTATGGGATGAAAATGTGTAAGAATGTCTCATTTTTCTCCAAATAGTAAAAGAATGATAAGGAAAAAAACAACCCAAGAACCCAGATGTGTGTAATTAAGTTTTGGAAGCCCCAACTAAGATTTGATTAGTCATGATAAGTGGATGACAAACTGGGGGCCCAATCCAAACTACAGAGAGTTTTTTGCCCGGTGAATAGCCTTAGCAAATGAGAATGCTCTAATATGTAAAGTTACTCACATAAATATCTGCAGAAATAGAAACAGTCCTAAAATAATAATTTTAAAAATGCAATTCTTACAATTCTTGAAGTTTATGAATTACTTTCTTATGATGTTTACTGTCAGAAACAGTTAGAAATACATGTTTGTTGCTCCATGTTTGCTGTTATCAGACCCTACTTCCAGCTGCTTGTAACTGCCAGCTCCCAGGGTCAATTTTTTCCCTCTGGATGTTGCTTATGGACTTTGCTGGGACGCTGGTCCCTGTTAACACCCCGCCCTGGGGGCACTGTGGGTGCTTGCAGGCTGGTGAGGTGCACTCCAGCGTTGGGACGTTTCGTGGAGCTCTGACAGAGTCCAGGAGAGGGAGGCTGAAATGGAAGCACAGATTGGGATTGACCTGTGGAGATAACGGGCAGGAAGCGAAACTCTGCTGCAGGCACTGCTGTGGTGAGGAACTGGAGGCACCGAGGGGAAAAGGCGGCAAAAAAGAGCTGGGGGAAGACATGGTTGGAAAGAGGCAGGTAGAGCACTGTCTGGGGAATGACAGACAAAATTCCCCCATCTTGCCATGCTGCTGCTGGCAGCACATGCCTGTGAAACCCCGCTGCCAGCACACATGCTCCAGTTCATGCAGAGTAGGTGCGCCAGTGCCATTTTCAAAAGGCATCTCTGCTGCAGGTAGCATGCCCATCAAAAAGACTTCGCTCACTCTGCATTTTTAAGTGATAGATTAATGTTTTCTAACAGAAAGCTGGTTTTCCTAAGATGACAGACAGGAAAGAAACACTAGAGGCCAGCCTACAAAAAGGCATCACCAGCTGAAATTGTCAGAAGGATGTAGACCAATGGAAATTCTTATTCTATAAGCTTAAATAACAGAGATGATGATCAAACAGTTTCTCGTGTGAAACAACAATCTTAGGTTACGTCCTAATAATTTTCTTTCTTAGGTCAGACCTAAACCTTAATTGCACACTCTGTGACAAAACCACACAAAAATATACTGCCCTGTAGAAATAACGTATTTAAGGGAAATGAGCTGTTCTTCAGGGCAGCACTCTCTGTGTGTTCCATCCCTGAGCACTTCTGTGCTCCCTACATCGGTGATCTGAAGAAGGCTCCTTGGATCTTCCCAGTTAGTGGTGCCTCATGCCCTCCCTTCCAGCAATGCCATGAAGAAGATGGCTAGACTAACTTGCCCTCAGTTTCTCCACTACCAGAAACCTTGCTATGGAAAATTTCAACATGAAAGTCTGGGTCAGGCACATACAGAGCATATAGATAGTATACATACGTAGCAAGTCTTCAAGAACACCAGTTGCCTTTTCCTCCTTCCATCTGGCGGGGTGCACATGTCCTACTCACAGAGTGTCTTAGGTAGCCAGCAAACCAGAAATTTTGGGGGGAAGACAATATTGCATTTTAGTTGCTGACTGATGCATAAGTATGTGGTATATAAGCCGATACATGGTTTAATGTTTAATAGATATACTGAAGAACAAAGCCTCTGTATTTTTACTTTAAAAAAAGATGTTAACATCTCTTAAAATTGCAACTGTTAATATCTATTCAGCTTTTGATGAGTGTGATTGGAAACAGCTGTGTCTAAACTGTTTCAACATCAAATGAGAATGGTCTTGAAAATGAAAGATTTGTGTACAAATAAAAGAACAACAGTTTAGCCAGCTTTAGATTTTGCAATGCTTTTGTTGAGTCATTACTATCTGGTCCTGGAAGAGAGACTGGTAATTATATACTGTGATTAAAATGTAATTCCAACACGGTTTTGGAAGGCAAATATGTGTGAAGTTTGAGACCTCATCAGTATGAGATACTGAGCAAAGCAGAGCTACTACCAAAGCATTAATTTCTCATTCTCACCACTGATAGTGGTCTTGTCACACTTACTCAGGACACTATTTATGTTCTTAAAGGAATTTAGACATGTCAGGGTGTGAAAACGTTGTAAACCCCTGTGAGTGTGAAGAGTATAAATAATATAGCTCTTAAAAACACTCCAAGGCAATTTAGTTTATTTATATTTTAAAGAGAGAAAATAGTCCAAGGATGCAGTAAATGGTTATCATTTTCCTATACAACACTTGGGTATTTTTAAATGTGGTCATTATTAGATTTTAATATCTAACTCAAATAGATTTCCTTTCTACTGCTAACTCAGATATTTTAGGTATTTTTGGAACTTTTTTTTCCCCTGTGTTGTTAAGCGTCTATGATGCTAGGTACATGTCATAAATCTGAGTGAAGCGTTACTCCTTCACCTGGGGGTATTAGGTGTAGAGAGTAGTGATAGCAGGATGGGTAGTGGTAGTGTAACCATACTGCTTTAAGAACCACCCCTTGCTGGGTCAGCAAGGAGTCTGACCAGCAATTTCAACAGAAAAGGACTAGGGAATGGATGGGCTTCGCGTGCAAGAAGACATTTCTCATATACTAAGTAAATGTCAAAAATGCTAGATGTCAAAAGCCAGTTGTCAAAAGCTGGACAAGTTAGTGTCTTATTCATGAGTACATTTTAAGTAAACCCCTACTTAGTTTATCAACAGTCATGTAAGATTAGCTTGTGTACACGTGATTATTAGAACTTACAGGGGTTTACCATTGTGATACTAACTCAATTTCCTTCAAATTCCCTAATTTCAACAGCATGATTTAAAATCTTCCTCAGGGACAAAGATTGGACCTAGTTTGTAAACTCAAAATTTATAAAGTTCACTCGATATATTATTATTATTATCATCATCATCATCATCATCATCATCATCATCATCATCATCATCATCTTTGGGTATATAAAATACTGTCCAAACAGCGTGTTCTCTTCTTGTCTACTTCAGTCACCACAAACCTGCATGGGAACAGTAGCTGTATAAGTGAATCCCGTGCTTCCTGGAAATCCATAAACATCCATATGTCAATATATGGATGAAAAGGAAATTTCAGGAGGTACACATTTAATCATTCATATACATGCACACTTACCTACATATGTCTATACATACATGTATCTTCATATAAATAGATACACACACGTATATATATCAGTGCATATACATATATATGTATTCAAGATGAACTAATAGCACTTCTTTTTAGATTAAACACCTATGCCTAGACATACCTTTATGTATCAGAATTTGACCACTGAACATCTATGTATAAATTGAGAAATACATGACACATGAATAATTGTAGTTTTCTGACTTTATATTTTTACAAATAAACAGTCTAAAATTTTAAAAATACACTATATAAACATGTTGAGGTACCAGAGTACTTTAACACCAAAAGTGATATGCCAGAAAACATAAAGCTGTCAAAGAATTTTGAATCAGAAGATTTGATACAGAGTGATTATCTTTAACTGCTTTTCAGGGGCCAGGGGAAGGAAAATGTCTGGCTTCACAGGCTGGGTGGGACGAGGCAGTTACACCCTCGAAGAGCACAAACTCCACCTGGTGGTAGGTTCGATGGAGAAATTTTAGAAAACCTGCAATTCTAAAGCACAATCTCTGCTGTATGACAGGGCTGTGAAATCTAGAAATAAAGATTTAAGTTGATACAGTTATCTTTGGGAAAGTACGAAAAAACAGAGAAAAATGTACTATAAATGTTTCTAATTTTTGCTACGCATCAGTTGATGAAAGCCTTTCAGTAATAAAACACCCCTTACATTTTTAACATAAGGATTGTGAATTTGCTAAAAACCCCTTTAAATTAATATGCATGTACATGTAAATTGTTTTATTTGTTTAAACTTTTTTATTACCGAGGAAGACATGTAAAAAAAAAAGACATGTGAATGGATAAATTTGGTCCTGCTTCTTCTTAAGTGAAGTGTATGGATCAGATAAATGTACAAATCCCTGAATTTCCTTTGGTGTACATCAGTTTAGAGTCCATTACATAAAATTCTGTAGCATTAGGTTTAAGGGTAATTCCCACTTTAATATTTTTCACTAAAGTAGTTCACATTTAAAAAAAAAAAAATTGTCCTTACAGTAACAATTTGTGTGATTGAGCTCCACTTAAAAAATAATTAAAGCTTATTTAAATTACGGAGGACACTATTTACTTTATTTCTCCCTTTCCACTTTTTTACTATTCACAACAGTACCCAAGTAGAACAGAAACAACATGTGCATTCAGGAAAACAAGAAAATATGTAAATATAATGCATACTGGCAAAGAAAAAATAGCTCATGTAAGATTCATTGCAGAACTCAAGAGTAGGCCAAAGAAAAATTAGAGCAACAAAAGGATCTCAATTAACTCTGGCAAAGGATCACCCAAGCACCCAGGTTTTTAGTATGATGCTAACTGTAGCACAGAGGAGGCCCCGTGAAAGAATCTGGGCACCTGCCATACTTACAGAGACAAAGCATTCGGCTGAATCAACTTCTAGGTCGAATACAACTCCAGACACTTCTGTTATATAAAACTTAAGCGAGTCTGAAACTAGGAAAACTGATAATCCAAAGGCAAAATATGGCCAAAGGCATATTAAAATGTGTTCATATGTCAGTGAAATTAAGTAACGTTTTCCTTGGTTTTCTACAAAGACAATCTCTCCCTTGTAAAGTATTCTGAAAAGTACTCGGTTTAGAAATAATTATGTATTTTATATTTATGCTAGAGCTTGTCTATATTCATAAAAAATAAGCATATTCTAGTATGCTTAGTTTTTAGTTTAGAGGCAAACATAGACGCTGGATCAGATTCATCATGGTAAGGGTTATATTTCTTATTTGTCTGGAGTACAATTTTAGAAATCAAATTTTATTTGGAGGCAATGCTGGTAATTAAAATAGTGGGTTTGTTACTTCTGCTTCTTGGACTAATTAAAAACCCAAACATACTGCTTATCCATACCAGTAATGGGATTCATTACTCCTGCTGCTCAGCCTCCATCTGAAAAAAAGCCAGGTTGCCTGAGAAAAACATGAATATTTAGCCCATAATGATCTGTCTGTCATACCAATGTATTCCATAGTAACTGGCTACATTATTTTCCTGTAAGAAAAGCTTCACTAGAGACTCATTAAGGTATGGATGTTGAAAGAACATAGGATTAGAATCCAACTGAAACACCAGTGAGGATGTCCAGTTTTTATTGGGCCTGATTCTGTGAAGAAAGTGTCCCATCAGCGTACACTGATTTCAGCAGGAGAGAGTTCAGCATCTCTCAGAAATGAAAGGTTTCTCCAAGTCCCAATTTGGCAGGATACTTACTTACATACTTACACAACTCTTAGGTACTGTTTCCAGTGGAACGAGTGCCACATATGAAATTAGGCACATACTGAAGTAACCTCCTCAATAACGGCCTGCATGTTAACTTGGAAGTTATATTGCTATTTTTCTAAGTCAAAACACAAAGAGGCATAGGTATTTCTAAGTAACTGAGTACCCTCTTTAAAATGTCAACTTCAATATTAATACCTAGGTTGTTAAACCAAGTAATATCTTACACCAAATATTATAATTTTGCAAGAGTATCATACTGAAAGTGTTACTCTGTAGAATGAAACAGAATAAAATTATTTAGCAAAAACCATGAAATGCCTGTATTCAACTTTTCTCATAAAAAAATATATTTTGTTTTACAATACTAACAGTTAAGGCCACAGAAGTCCAGCAAGATGCTGATAAGCATATCAATTGCAACTATTAAAATTACCAATAAATATAAAGAAAATGGTCTACATGTTTAAAATCATAGCAATCCAATTAATCAAAAAAGCAACCGTCAACATCTCTAGTGAGTTGTAACTGTTTTCAAGTAAAAATGCACTATGTGCTTTAAGACTGTCACATTCTTACGTACTCTAACAGTGTTAGAGTAATATACAAGTAGAAGATTTCATCCTTCTGTCCTGGTTAGTCACAGTTTCCCTGGAGTTCTCCAAAGTATTATTCTGGCTTTCATCTTTACTGTCTTCACCAGATAAATCTTCCTTTTCTTTTTCTTGTCCACTCTGTAATAGATTTCCAGATCTATCTTCCTTTCTGCTACATATGTTCTTTTGGCCTGTCAACGGCTTTTGCTTAAACAGAGAAAACTGAAGTAAAAAACAGGTAAATAATATGACCAAAACAGTTACCTGTGATGTTCAAGGTTAAAAAAAACACAAAGCCTTTTGTATATATCAAGGTCAGTTTAGGTCACAAATTTCTCCTTGGTAAAATAAATATTTTTTTCAAAACAAAATGACTATTTAAAAAATGTTACTGGAGAACATTCTGGTGCAATATTTGAATTGTGTCAAAATGGCACAAACAAATCTGAGAAGTTAAAATGATTGCATTTTGTCAAATTACACACTGTACATTTTGTACAAAATATTGCAAGTGGTGCAAATTTTTTTGTGTTTCTTTCAAACACGAGTCTGAGGTAAAAATAGAGGCTCAGATATGCAAAGTCCCAGAGCAGTAAATGCTTAATACACTTCGTTATAAACGTGTGTAGTCCCATTAAAGTTAATGACAATGTGGTTTTATGTCAGTGAGACTAAACATGTGCTTAAAGTTAATTGGTACTTAAGGTCTTTGTTCAACAGCAAAAACAGCAGCCAGTCTCTGCAGAAGCCCTTGGATCCTAAACCTGTAAGAAATTCCATATAAGGTACTCCTCAATATGCACATATGTATATAAGCACACTCTTTAAATCAGTGCACACTGAAAATAGATACAAGGTCAACTGGCTCAGCTGCTGCTTTCAGAGAGAAAGATGATGAAAAATATTTTTAAATAGCATCCCATAGGAATCAAGTCCTAAGTTTTCACCTCACCAAAATCTGATGTGACCATGTCTTTTATGGGCATGTTATACATGAACAGTGATAATGGGCTTTATCTCATTTCTACTGACAGAAGTACTATGATTTATTTTAATAGAGCAATTATTTGGACAATTTTAAGTTATCACAAAATAAAATTAAACCTCAAACAGAAGGAACAGGTTGCTTAGCAGTTTAATTGTTTATGCAGATCAGGTAAATTGGGGTATTTGATTCCGTTTGGTAACTGCCCACTGCTTTCTTGGTCACTGGTAAAACTATAAGGAAAATCAGGCCACATACCTTTTTCCTCCCAAAGATTCCTCCAGTTATTTGGTCATCACTGTTCTCTGAAGAATTGTTCACAGAGTGATTGTCAGTGCCTTCTTTCTCTACAATAATATAAAACTTCATATTAACTTCCTTCTGATTGTTATAAATTAAGAGCAGAAAAAATGTTCTTCAAATTATTTTTGAAGGAAAAGTCACGAAATAAAATGAGGATCTTACAAAAAAAAGCAATTGGAATATTCCGTTCAACTTGATGTGCAGCCTGACAAGAATGTTTTTATTTTTTAAACTCTGTATATAATGTCCTTGTATTATTCTCCAGATGCTCGATTTTCAAGAACACAGCACTTATGGCAGTGACATTATATAGAATGTTTTGACTTGACACTCATAGTTTTGCTCCTACTGACAGAAGACAATGTCTTGCACACTGATTTTGAAAGGCTATTCTAACTCAGAAAAGCTGACTTTTAAGGCAGGAGTTACAGTTCAGCATGAATTTTATTCCATAGAAACAATTCTGGGAAAGGAAGAACTTTCCATCTGAGTTGATGTTCCTGTGTTTAAATTTTCCTATACTCCCTTTGGAATGATATAAATTTAGACCTTAATATCCAAACTTCCAGATCACTGGATGATGGAAAAATATTTAAGCATCCATTCTGGACAAGCTATTTCCATTATAACATTGAAAATAAATGGCATAGCTTCTTCAGTAGTAAGGCAATGGTTGTTTTTATACCACATTTGTTATTTTTGTTCAAAAGAACAATTATAGATTATTCCAGAATTCATAAAATAAAAGAAGTGGGTTTTAATTGTCTTGCATAGAGGGCACCCAACTTCACGCTCCCCAGCTTTTCTAAAGTTCTAAAATACAGTTCACTCACACTGTCATCCTAACTGCAAGCAACATCCAGACTTACATCTCCAGCATCTCTGAACAGTGTTCAGTAATTACCACATTTCACCTAAAATAATCTGTTTGTGAACATAATGAGGAAATGTCAGTTGACAGGGAAGGACTTTTGACAAGCTTCTCTGTTGAAGTGAAGAAAGACGGCACATAAAGAAGTTGCTTGAGAGATAATACAATTACCATTACTTTGCCACTGCACAACTAGAACTATGCTTAGCAAATAAGATGCAGTCCTGCTAAAAGAAAGTCCTCAGGGACTTCCTCCAATACGTAACTGTGAAAAGTAATTTCTTCTTTCAAATCATTAACAATTATTAATGTTTTTTTGCCTCTCAAATTTCATCACCTCTGAAGATACTGACAATAACTGTATTGTTCAGTATTTTTATAATAGAGATTGTATTTAGAATGTCCATAATGGTCCAATTCTTAGGAATTGTATCCTTACCCTGCTGAATGATGGTCTCTTTCTGAGTAGTCCCTCCTGTCTATAGAGAGACAAAACAATGAAATCTCTATTTTCAGACTTGTTGAAAAATAAAATGTTTAACACTTACATATGTGTTCCTCCCTCTACCAAAACCACCCCAAAAAACAACTTTGCATTTCCAGGATAACTACACTTGTATTCAAACCAATGTAAGTTATAGAACCAAATTCTTTCATAGACCAATAACTTAATAGAAATAAATGCTTTTACCTCAACAGTTTCCACTGTGCTATTACTGCTTTTCTCTCCCTTGGGTGATTTACTATGTTTCTCCTTTTCATATTTTTCCTCTGTTTCCTCTTCTTTCTCTGTTTCTTCCCCTCCTCCTTCTGCTTCTTCTTTTTCTTCTCCTTCTTCTACTTCTTCATCGTCATCATCATTGTCATCATCATCATCATCATCATCATCACCACCATCAGTGTCTTCATCTCCAGACAAGTTTCGTTCCTTTGACAAAATGGCCAAAACATAATTTTGAAACTTACGCTGCACAATGGTATCATGGTCCTCATCCTACACCAGTTCATCATACATCATAATTTGTCTAAGAACAAGAAAACTCAGAAGAAAATGTTCCAAGGAGTAGATAGAGTAAGGACAAAGAAAGAAGCCCTCATTCGAGGGTTGCTAATCTTAACTGATTTTAAATAAACAGACCTCCAGTGAACGTTAGGAGTGCAGCTGACTTTTAGGTTTTGCTAACATGGGTCTCCTTAATGGAAAAACAATGAAACAAGCTTGATTTTGGAAACAAAATACTTATTTTAAATGTTTGAAATATGTAAAAGTAACACAAGCAGTAGTAATTCCAACACTGAGAAAAAGAATTAAAATCTATTCCCCAAGAAAACTAATAAAACAATACCAGATACAATGTTCTGATTCATCCGATTCAATATAGACGCTATTATTTGAATTTAAGTTAGTTTCAGCTTAGGATAAAACTTCAATAAAGTAAAATACAACAGCCAGGGGTATTATAAATAAATTTTAAAAAGCGCAAATGATATTTTTGTAAAAATGTGTAGAAAAAAGAACCGATTATATCCTTATTACTCAATTCAGTATGTCATTACTCTGCCATTTATGTATTTATAACAGGATGAAGTACAGTATTTTAAAGAGAAACATTCTCCCTCCAGTTGCAGAAATATAAGGGCCTAAACCAAGTCCAAAATGGACTTCTGATGTCAAATCAAGTGAACCCTTATCACTGCGTGAGAGTGCCCAGATGTACTATTACATATTTGCATTCTGATGTTTTTCTTCTATGATTGATTGAAATATAGGTATTGAACTAGTATTTTATTTTAAAAGAGACCTGAACAACAAAACATTTCGGTTCCGCTGCAGCCTATGTCATGATGGGAACTGGTGGGAATGATCTGCATGCTCTTTTGAAAGTGTGGTAGAGGAATGGGTCTTATTTTGAATATCTTTGTATACTTGGGTCCAAATGCTGTCTCCTTTCTTTTGTCAATATTTTCCTTACTCCCTCTTACTTTTTCGAATTTTTGCTTGTTGTCTCCACAATGATAGTTTTCATGCTCATCAGAAGGTAACTTGCTAGTCAGCAGGAGACCGTTAGCTAATGTTTCTAGAGGTTGGAACACAAAGCTGCTTAGCCAAGAATGTGAGAGGTATGCAAAAGCTTAATAAGCTAGTTGTTTCCTGGTCTGTACTCTTCTGGGTAAGTTAACCATGTAGCAAAGTATTTTTGGACCTTACTCAGAAGCCTTCCACCACTTTAAGCACACCTGTAATTAAGAATCACAACAATACCACAGACATTCAGCTTGTACCACTTTCATTGTTCTCTTTTGCCCCATTGTCCACAGGCTTGTCTGGTGCCTTTTGCAGTTTCAGAGACCAAATTTTTAAACTTTGGATAAAAAGCCTCACTGTGCATACCAGCATGTGCAGCAGAGTTAGTGGTTCTCCACAGTGGCTAGTACCTGCGCAGCACACACCATGTTCTGAGAACCGCTGTGAAATGGGCTAGCAGCAAAGATGAATCCTTCATGGAGTCCAGGCTACACATTAATCACACGCTGATGCTACAGAGCACACCTGGGAAACTGAAGGAACTCTGGTAGTGCATTATACTGCCTGCCACATATTCCAGCTTTAGAAATGTTAGCAATTAAATAAAAGCAGAAATCACCAAGTACCATTGGTAGAAAGTCTCTTCTGTAGCATAACACAACTGTGATCCAAACAGCCGGCATTTTGCAACAGATGAATGCTTCAGCTCACCCTACTGGGGAAAAGACCTTCTCCTAACAGCTACCTTCCGGTATTTCCCTAACCAAGGCTTCTTCCAGTCACCTTTCCAGTCCGTCTCAGTAAGTGTGTTTTACTCCAAACAGTGAGAAAGGCAACCTGCTTTCAACTCTAACAAAAGTAAATGAAGTGCAAAATATTTTGTTGAAATTGTAGAATCATTTAGGTTGTAAAACACCTTTAAGATCATTGAGTCCAACCATAAACCTAACACTGCCAAGTCCATCACTAAACCATGTCCCTAAGTGCCACATATACATGTCCTTTAAATATCTCCAGGGAGGTATTTAAACTACTCCCTTGGGCACCTTGTTCCAACGCTTGATAACCCTTAATTTCTTCTCACACAGCAAGCAGACTGAGCAGCAGTGCCAACATACATAATACCATTTAGGGTGGAGCACACTGTTTCGTATGACTACTCAGTCGTGTGCCCTGGCACACTATTGTGAAAGTTCCCAGCAACAGGGTACAAAGATTCCCAGTGGCGAATCCTACTGTCATTTCCTGGGGGCTCTGCACAATGGAAAGTCTTTTAAGAACAAGCACAACCATGGTAAGAATCCTGTATCCTGGCATTTCCAACAGGTAAACAGGTAGGGAGGAAAATGACAACAGGTTTCAGAAGGGTGTGATATTTTTTTTTTCAAAAATATATATATTTTTTTTTAGTTTTAGTGAGAAGATTGATTATGAAGCTAAACATGACAAACTCTTTACATGCTCGACTCTTCTATAATACACTCGAGCATCTGTGATGGAAAGCAAGAGATAATAATTCTTCCACTTTTCTAGGGGCTCAGAAAAGGTTGCTTCTTACATGTCATTACATCTCAGGACCAATGAACAATAAAATCTGAAAACATTTTTGTCTAAACTCCTTTGGAAGTGGTGTTATTTATCATTGGCAGAGTTTATCTTGTAGAGGTGAATTGTACCAATATGGGTACACTGCAATATTTAGTACAGAAGTGTTTAGAGAGAACACGTGCACAGGATTTTGTCTTTGTAAAAAATGTAAAAACCTTCCACTGGATAAAATCCTGACACTCAGTCTTCCAGAGGACCTGCTTGAGTGGGTCCAGATTAGAGCCATGGAGATGACCAGGGGGCTGAAGCACCTCCCCTGTGAGGACAGGCTGAGAGAGTTGGGGTTGTTCAGCCTGGAGAAGAGAAGGCTCCGGGGAGACATTATAGCAGCCTTCCAGTGCTTAAAGGGGGCTACAGGAAAGCTGGGGAGGGGCACTTTATCAGGGAATATAGGGATAGGACAAGGCATAATGCTTTTAAGTGAAAGAGGGCAGATTTAGATTAGACATAAGGAAGAAGTTATTTCCTGTGAGGGCGATGAGACAGTGGCACAGGTTGCCCTGAGAAGCTGTGGCTGCCCCCTCCCTGGAAGGGTTCAAGGCCAGGCTGGACGGGGCTGGGAGCACCCTGGGCTGGTGGGAGGTGTCCCTGCCCATGGCAGGGGGGTTGGAGCCAAGTGACCTTTAAGGTCCCTTCCAACCCAAACCATTCTATGACTGTATGTTTCTTTGACATGGAATTACTTAGACATCTGTGAGAAAGCCAGAATTTTCTATTTTGGTTCCTTCAAAATTGAGACAGCATTCACAGATATTTAGCAGAGTTATGGCCCATGGAAGGGATTCAATCTATCCATTTCACACTGGAAGAAATTTAAGATTCATAGGGAATGTATACACTACATAATAACATGCATCTACAAAACACAGCAAAATGTGTAAAGACAGCTAAAAGTAAAAGAAGAGTTTAGTCCAGCTTTGAACTACTGAAAATGTTTATCCCATTTTATAAGCACGTGTAAGTATCTCTAGCTCTGCTAATACGGAGTTACTGGTCAAGCAGTTAACAAAAATACCTATGTTCCATATAGTATGGGCAATAAAAGTAGTTAGGATTTGAGTTCTGAGAGGGGAACTTCTCCTAATTACATAGTAAAGAGTCATGACATATTCACATGAAAATCAGTCCCAAAATCAAATTGATACGAAAAAAGCTCTTCTTCCAACCCTCACCTTTTCAATTACACAATCCAGTCTCAGAAATTACCTATACTTCTAGCCTCATCTCTAAGCACACTTGATCTCCAGCTTTCTATCCACTGACAACTGTTTTCCTCCTCATCTAAATATTCAAAACATAATTTAAGAAATGCAAAGCTTATTTTCTTTCAAAACCATTCCTCTTGCACAGATAATGATGGGTCTAATGAGGAACAGCACTCTAATTCTCATTAAGCTAGCAGCTAAACCTATAGATAGTAACCAAGAAAACCAGAATTTGCTATTTATGAATACTTCCTAGGAGCACAGTCTAATGCTAAATTTAAAAAGATAGGAAGAGCACTTTTTTTTTTTTTTTTTTTTTGTAAATTTGGTGAAAATCTCATCAGAACTAAATGCTCCAAATGGCTAGGAAAATTTGTCACAGAATAACATTTTAAAAGACCTTTTTTTCTGCTTCTTTATAGAGCTAACATTGATCAGTGGGACTTAGAATACTACTATTCTAAGAATAAAACAACATTTTATCAAAGTACAAAATTACTGTCAGCATTCTAGAATCTACCTATCATTTGGAAAGCAGAATCAGGTAGACACATATTTAGCATACTTGAATAAAAAAGCAGAGCACAATTAGTGCGATGTCATCCGCAACATAGTTAAAGCATTTCAGAAACTGTACACCAAGATCCCATAGTAGCCCTATAGAACTTAAAAGACTTATGTACAATTCCTATGCGTACAAAATCACTACTCTTTTACAGATGTATAATGTCTGAACTTCTACCATACTGCTCCACAGGTTCTGCTTACAGTGAACTTATCAGGTTTGGATTCTGTGTGTTCCAGTGTGGCTGGAGCACTTGTCAATAAGACTGAGGCAAAAAAGCCATTGAGTACCTCAGCCTTCTCCATATCCTAGGTAGCCATGTCTCATTTCCTTCTGGAGAGAGCCCACATTGTCCCTAGTCTTCCTTTTATTACTGACATACCTATTTTATTACTGACATACCTACAGAAGCTTGTCTTGCTATCTTTGACACCCATGGCCAAATTTAATTCTATCAGGGCTTTGGCCTTCCTAACCTGATCCCTGGCTGCTCGGACAATTTCTCTGTATCCCTCCCTGGCTACCTGCCCTTGCTTCCACCCTCTGTAGGCTTCTTTTTTGTGTTTGAGCTTGTCAATGAGCTCCTTGTTCATCCATGCAGGCCTGCTGGTGGTCATACCTGACTTTGTCAAGATGCATCACTCCTGAGCTTGGAGGAGGTGATCCTTGAATATTAATGAGCTTTCTTGGGCCCTTCTTCCCTACATGGCTTTATCCCATGCTACTCTGCCAAGCAGATCCCTGAAGAGGCTAAATTCTGCTCTCCTGAAGACCAGGGTAGCTTGCTGTGTGCCCTCCTTGCTGCCCTAAGAATCTTGAACGCCACCATTTCATGGTCACTACTACCCAGATTTCCCTTGGGCTTCACACTGCCCACCAGCCCCTCCTTGTTAGTGAGAACAAGGTCCAGCATGGCACCTCTCTTTGGTGGCTCCTCTATCACTTGGAGAAGAAAGTTATCATCAACACATTCCAGGAACCTCCTGGATTGCTTATACCCTGCTGTGTTGTCCCTCCAACAGATATTGGGGTGATTGAAGTCCCCCATGAGGACCAGGGCTTGTCAACATGAGTCTGCTCCTGTCTGTCTATAGAGGGTCTCATTTCCTCAGTCTTCCTGGTCGGGTGGCCTGTAGCAGACTCCCATTATAATGCATCCTGTCCCTGCCCTCCCTTTAATCCTGACCCATAAGCTCTCGGTCAGCTCCTCATCGATCCCCAGGCAGAGCTCCATGCACTGGTCACTGACAAGAGGGCAACCCCCTCTCCTCGTCCCCACTGACTGTCCTTCCTAAAGAGCCTGTCTCCTTCCATTCCAACACCTCAGTCATAGAAGTCATCCTACCACATCTCAGTGATGCCAATAAGATCGTAGCCCTGCAGGTGTGTGCACATCTCTAGCTCCTCTTGTTTATAAAGATATTTAATTTCTCAGTGCTCTATAAAAATGTGGTCCTATGTCTACAGGAGAGAGGGGAAAAAATTTAACTCTGTTCTATACCGTTGTCTCCCCTGCTGTCATGCTCTGGCTGAAAGACAGTCTCGCAGAAGACTGGAGACATGTCTGATGGTAGACCTTGATCAAATGACAGCTGTGAACTAGGTTTCTCTATATTGCCATAACTATTTGATTGTGGATCCCTCCTGCATACTTTACGGAAACTGAGCTCTGGCAGACAAACTGTTCATAATTAGCATTTCAGAAGGGAATGTTTATGGTATCTTTCCAAGCTTCCTCAAGAAGTCAAAATATTTTATGTTTGCCACCACCATTTTATGTTTCTAGGGAAGAAAATCTCAAAATCACTGATGAGACAAATTTAGTTGCAGATCTTTTAAAAATCTGGTGATAACTGTCCTGGTTGGGGCTGGCCTAGAGTTCCCGTTGGTCTGGCAGCGGGAGGAGCTGCAGCACCCTGAGACCCCAGGGGCTCCCCAGGTCCCAGTGCCCTCACCTGTGTGCGGGGGCGGGGGGAGCACAGCTGGAGGGCTGGGCCCTGATTGGCCAATAGTCCATGTCATGTGACATTGTGCTCACCATATAAAGGCAGGAGAGGGCTGGGAGGGGCTCTCACTTCCTGGAGTGTGACTGTGGGGCCTTTGTGTTTGGGATCACTGGCTGGGGGCAGGTGGGTGTTGGTCGGCAGGTGGTGAGCAGCTGTATGGTACATTACCTGTTGATACTGCTGTCAGCATGTTCTGTCACTGTTATTAAACTGTTTTTATCTCAACCCGTGAGTCTCCCTTTGCCCCTCCGATTCCCTCCCCATTCCCAAGTGGGGGGAGGGTGGGTGAGCGACTGTGTGGCGTTTAGCTGCTGACCAGGCTCAAACCACAACAATAACTCAGTGATGAAGAGAAATCTGTAATTACTATGTGTGCCGCTTGGAAATGGATAGTTCTGGGAAGCTCTTGCTTACAGAAAATATATTTCTGTTTCTAGTTGCCCTGGAAACTGTTAAAAATTCAGAGAAGACTATTAGAGAGCTGAGAATGAGGTAGGTAGCTATATGCTTATTCCTTGGTATTGTTCTGCCAAGCAGCCATAAAACAGTGATTGCTTAGCAGAATTTTTAACCATTTAAGGAACAAATTTCTCCCATTACCTGTCCAGCCCATTACCTTTAGATGCCCTAAAGTGTGCCATGGCTCTCTTACAAGCCCATACAAGAACTGAATGGGATACATACCTAGGAGGACTTTCACTAGAAAGTAGAAGAGTCTTAGTAGATGGGTATCAGGTCTGAGGAGGTTGGTCAGTGTGCATAACGCTGTCACATGGGACTGAACAACACTTTGTAGAGCACTGGTAAAGACAACTACAAAATATATTTCTACAGACCATCCTTCATTTTTGATGCAGGACTGGAGTGGAAAACGTAGAGGAATCATATTCCCCACTAGCTAATATTTTGCTCTCCAAGATACTAGTGCACATCAGTATCACTCCTGAATTGTTCATGCTGGGAAAATCCACTGTGTTAACATTCTACTAAAATAACATTTAAAGTAACAATATTAACCATGATTTTACATGCAGATGAGAGAAAAAAAAATAAAATAGATCTGATTACCCTTTGTGGGTTAGAGATATATGGATGGATAGGCATGTAACACTATTTTGATACTGATCTTGTCATGACTTCAAGTTATCTGACGTGAAGTGACTGGAAACAGTGCCTGACAAAACTCTTAGTAAAGCTAAGATACGTACCTTGTAGTTTTTTACTTATCAGTTACAGCGAAAGCTTAACATCTTAAAATTCACATAGCGCTAGCCATTTGTTATCAGGAATTTGGATTGGGCTTTCATTTTGTAGCTATTAATACAGAAAAATTATTAGCTCAGCTACTCTAAACCTTAGAGAAGTATCTTTCACTTTAATGATTACTAAAGAAAGCTGTCCAGTTTGATGACTGACAAAATTCAGAGACGTAAGTACTCAAATGAAAGTATTCAAATGAGAGATTTAACAGCTTATTCGTTCAGTTAGAACCAGTAAGGCAGTCAACAAGCCAAACTAGTCTTTCCTTATGTATTGTCATGGAGAAAACCAGAAAAGTTCAGCTGAATACACTTAAAAGAATTTTCGGTAAAAAGAGGAGCCTGTCACCATAACTTGTCTAAAAGTTAACATTTGTACTTTCACTAGGTTACACTGGTTTCCTAATTGTACAACTCTATGTCAGGAGCACTTGACATTGATTACCTCATAGTTATAAGTGTCCCTTAATGCTTCTGTCACGCAAGTATCCTGGAATACTAATGCAATGCTGAGCTCATAATTTCAGGTACACTGTGAGAACAGTGAAACAATTGGAAACCATTTTTATGTCAGGCATGAGTTTCCATTGCTACATGTCAAGCAAAGATTGAACTTTGAAGATAGTTATGACTTCTTGTAAATATGACGGAAGAAAATGTTTTGAAGCAGTAGATGCCCAAATAGTGATACACTGGTTACCCTGAATATGTGATGACTTAACTACTACAATAGTATTTGTGATACTTCAGTTGCATTCTCCAACAGGACAGTGTCACTCTGAAAAAAATGGAATAAAACAGTGACTATATAGCTGTAAATAATGTTAGACTAACTACTACAATAGTATTTGTGATACTTCAGTTGCATCCTCCAACAGGACAGTGTCACTTTGAGAAAAATGGAATAAAACAGTGAATGTATAGCTGTAAATAATGTTAGAAACTGATTGAGCAGACTAATTTTTCACTGTTGTTTTCCTAAGTCTTCTTCTGCTACGCAATATGTTTTATTTACTAAAATCCAAACACAAGGACTTACAACTTTACACTGATCTGTGCCCTTTCGTCACAGGCTGTCACTGCATATATTTTGCACCAAGAGAATTAATCTGATTACATTTAATAACTAAGACTTTAGGTGTCATTCTGAGTTAGTACATTGACATTTATTACACAGTAGTAGACAGGCCTTTTTTGATGTCATTATCTTAAAAGATTGTTTTGGTTGGCTTTGGTGTAATTATTCTGTGGGTTGCCAGCTTGCTGCTGTAGGTATATCTGAAGAAAGATACATCTCTGCATTCTTTTTTGAGTAAAAATAACCACTTACCAATGTATAAAATTTTAATGCAAAACTACATTCTAAAAAAGACAGTATTTGTACTTCCAGGTTTGTTTTAGATTTTGACTATTCACTACAGAATCAATTTAAATAGTTATCTAAAGGATTCTTTTTCTCCAGCAATTCAGAGCAAATTTTTATTATTTATTCCCCAAGATAAACCCACATCTGAAATAGCTCACATGTACTACAGCTTCCATATACAGTACTCTTAGTTTCTCCAAACAGGTTGCTTTCTTTGAAGAACAAATAAATAATATCAATTTCCAGGGTGAAAAGGAAAAAAAAAAAAAACACTCTCTAAAACTAGAAAGAATTTTTAAGGTGTTTTGTGAAGAATCATAAAACAAATTGGAGACTGTTTACTTCAAGTATAATCTCATGAGCTATTTTACATAGTGACATAAATACCCTTTAATATTCAGTCACTTGGAAATAGCATACCAAAATAAGTCCTGGGTACTTAAGCAAAACAGATGAAATATAATGAGCAACTTCAAATCATAATATGTTGACGTTATCTCAAAAACTTAGTGTGTCTCTGGAAGATATTATGCTACATAAAATGAATTCTTAATGCTAACAGACACACAGAAAAACTAACTTGGGAATATTCGCCCACACTTGGATTCAGTTTGTGCATTTTTTCCAGATTCTTATAGAAAAAAAGTTCTAGGGTCTGGAGTTTGTCATGCAGCTCCCACTTATTTGCAAGTGAATGAGGACAGTCACTGCTTTTTGCTTTTATTATGCCACATAGCTTAGAGTACTGCATGTCTCTCCAAAATCACGTGCTTTTCACTGAAATCCTGCCTTAATTATGCTGATTATTATTCAATGCTTGGAAAAAAATTACGGGCAAAAGCAAATTTTCACCAATAACACCACAGCACGCAGGAAGGTTCTTCAAGATTCTCTGGTCTGTTCTCCATACATTCCTGAAAGGGATGCCCAGTGAGTCACTGCCAAAATCTCTACAGCTTGCAAGACTGGGTCTCTCAGGGGAGATGCCCCATTTGAAAATACTCTGATGTGAAGGTGGCCACTTCTGTACAACCATCAATAATCTTTAAACCCATTCTCATCTTGTATGGGCAGATTTTTCAAGGCACACAAAACTTAGTAACACAGAAGTCCCACCAGCTTCCCCAAGGAATTGTTCGCATCATGCTGGCACTTGTGAAAGGTCTACACCAGCTACTGAAGGCCAGCTTTAAAGCACAGCTTAACATCTTTCTGTACTCTTGATACAGGACACATTCAGGTTTGCTTTGTACTTTTTCTACTCAGAGATGACAATGAAGCGCTTAGTAAAAGAGATTAAATTTTGCAGCAGTTCTGCTGCTGTGTTTCTAATTATGAGAGTCATTTTGTGCCTTGGCTAGATGCTGGATAGAATGAAAGTATTTTAAACTTCCTGTAAGAAAACCAGCCTCTGCCAGGGTAGCTCACAATCCCAAACTTGTATTAGATTGGTCATTATTGTTGACCTCCCAGTTGAATGAATGACCTCCCAGAATGAAATCCCTGAAGCACAGGCTCTTGTATTATCACTGGTACACAGGGAGTGGAAAATATTACTCTTCAATAGTAGTGATCTGTATCCATACAGGTACAGGTGCAGATACAGGCTTTATTTAATATAAAATTCTGCTTAGAGCTACCTTTGTTTAGCTCTCTCTTACTCTCAATATTAAACCATAAATTTACATTTCACACAAGCCACAAATGCAAATCTGTGTGAAAGGTGGGGTATTCATGAGAAATTATAAAGCGCTAAACCTGTAATGTTGAACCTGGGACATTCCAGGAAACTGCCCTGCAACCCACCTCAGACAGAAAAAGAGTGATGTCTGATTTTTCAACACTGGGACATTTATAAAAGCCAGGATGGTAAATATCTTTACACTTGATATTTCAGGGCCCTGATAATACATATTTTCATAACTATGATGTTTTGAGATAAAGGGATTAATATTTGTATAAATTATTATAGCATGAGGTTGCCAAGCAAAGAAGCAATAGGCACTATCACAAATCCTTAAAAAGGCCAGCGATTAAGTGTACTTTCTTCTTCTTTTGGCAATAGAAAAATAAAGCCTCTGTACCTCTCTGCAGTGCAATATTCTGATGCCAAAGCTATCTCTCCAAAATCCTTTCAATATGCAGAAGCTAACATCTCTCTCCATTATGAAAATATTACAACTCAGTGAGTGATTTCAGATCATGAACATGCTCATAACTTCACTGAGGACAAAACTATAGGTTTGCCATTTGTGCAAGCGAAGTATTTGCTCACTTGTTCATAGAATGCCACAGTACTAAACGCTGTCATTTATTTGAATTGCACATTTAGAAATGAGTTGAGAATTTGCCCTTTTGCATTTACTTTGCCCATTTTTTGCCTTTTTACAGGTCTGACAACATTCTTCTGTCTGAAGATCCTGTTATTTCTAAGCTTGATTATGCTTCCCATTATACTCATCATAAAATTAAAGACAATACACAGAAGTTTAGGTGAGTTCACAGTTCATAAATACAGCCTATATGCACTAAGAAAAAACTCAGATTGCGCTAAAAAAGATGCTATGCTTTATTTAACAATACTTTTGTTAAATGACTAGATTCAAACCAGAAATTCAATTAATAAAAAGACTGTTTGCTATTCTGAGGTGTAAGATCTACAAGATAGTGTCATCTTTGGAGAAAGTAAGCTAAAATTTATCTTAAAAGATGGCTAAAGTTAAGAAAAGCTAGGGAAAAAAGCTAAAAGCAATGGAAACAAAAACTAAATGCCCTTTTCTGCATGATTCCTAAAGGCCCCATTCTAAAGAATAACCATGTACCTATCCAGATAAGACACCGGGACAAAAAAGTGTTAATGAAAACCAGACATTTTCTGTAGTTTAGAGAAAAAGATTTTTGCTATTTAGCATCAATTATGCAAAGAAAATTATTATCCAAATTAATAGTTTGATGTTTTCAGATATAATGGAAAAATTTACCTGCTGAAATTTTGCAGACATAACAGAAGAGTTGTGCTACAGCATATTCAAAAGTAATCTAGAGCATCCTCATCTCTAACAGCAGCTATGGGGCAAGAGCAACTTGCAGTCCACCCCCCAAAAATGGGATATGTGCTTGTAAATCATGCCTGGTGTAAAAGGCAGTATGTACATATATAATTCTGTGAACATGTATGTGAGAGTGTGCAGGGGGATTAAAACTTCTGAGATTAGCTGAAGAAGGACGCTTAGAAATTTGCAGGTGCTTATTAACATTTTATGGATGTCTAGTGTTGTTACTTGCTGTATTGCCACTCTTGATCTTGAATGGGTAGTTGGCTGATTGATGATTAACTGCTATTAATAGATCAATAAACCACTTCAATATTGATTTGATTTAGGCCACATAATTGAACAGTTTTTCTGCATGACAATCATGAGGGAATAAATGCTTTTTCTAGTACAAGAATACAGAGACATCAAATGAAGGTACCAAAATACAGATTCGAGACAAAAAAAAGAGTTACTTCTTCCAACAGCCTGTAAAGTGATCCAAGAATTGTCTGCCAAAACATGTACTGGATGCCTAATAGGTTAAAAATTGATTGAAAGAAATTCATGGAAGAAAAATGGCTATTAAATATAATAGATACATCTGCCGAACCACACATTATTGAATATACTGAATACATGTGGTATACTGAATGATTACACAGGAGAAGTAACACTACATGTTTGATCTATTCTTGTATTTTTTGCCAGGCATCCACCAGTTGCCACTGGTAGAAAAAAGATATTGGACTAGATAGACCTTTGGTCTAAGCAATTTTCTATTGTTTTCTCTCTCTACTGTGGAATTTTTTCTCTGTACTAAAAACTAGTTCAGGAGTACTTCTGCCATGTTGTTTAAGTACATCAAATAAATCTTTCTGTATCCCATAATAAATACCAAGGACATACTGAATTTCCACAAAACCACAAGTACCAAACTTTATAAACCAATAAGAGTCAAACTAAACAAAATTCCACTCATTATGCTAATGGAGTTCCAAAGTCCCCCCAAAGCCCAGAAACGTTGGCACAGTGTACAATTTATGTAACAATTCTGTGGAAAACCCTTAAGAAGTGCTGGAGTAATGCTCTGCTTTTCCCCTACCACAGGAATGATCCACAAAAAAATATAAAATCAGTTCTCAATTCAATGAATTTTCATCCAGACAAAACAAAGAAAAGGAGATGACTGTAACTTGGATTTCTTTACTCTCCTGGGAAGCTTTATGCTATCAGCCCATGTTAGGAGAGGAACAACAAATGGTCCCCCACTTGGCTACGGATTTAGATTAAAAGCTACAGCCAAACAGTAAATGAAGAGCCATTCCTGCGTGGAATTGGAAATCACTTGCTTCAAAGTGCTCTCACTATTTTCTCCCTCAGTCTAGCAAATACTTTTCACAAGAAATAACAGATTTTTTTCGCAGCTGAGTTTCTTCCAAAGCTGAGTTTTAGAATCACAAGTAAGTAGATGTCATATCCAAGAAACATGGTTTTAGGCCTATAAAGATACTTTTCAATATTACTCTAAGTTTAGTCACAGTAACATCCTAATCTTTCCTAAGAAAAATAAAATAACACAGCTTAGCTCTACTTAGTTTCAAAAGCAAATATTTTCACAGCAGCTCAGTGATAACATAGCCCTTCTGTGAAATAACCGAGGACTCCATTGTTAGAGAGCTGTTTTCTCAGGAAGTGCATTTAACTGTTAAAATATTCGACTCTATCAGAATATGAGGATACTTACCATTTTCCAAAGACTTATACATGCTGATGTCAAGACAGTGTATCGCAGAAAATCCCAAAGCTTGAGACAAATTTCACAGGGACAAAATACAGTCACTGGACTAACTTTTTGTTACAGTTAGGCACAGCACAGGACTGAAAGCAATCTTACCTTCATAAGCAAGGAAGGGGTATATGGAACGGGTGACTGAGGTAGGAAGGATGGAACTGGACTCGAATCTACTGGCAAACTATTAATCTACTACAGCCTTTTTAGAAAATAAATTCTGGAGACACTGTGTCAAAGATAGTTTAATGCCAGTATCTTACAAAACAACATTAAGAATGTTTCATAATCTCAACAGAAGTATTGATTCCATTAACACTTTTATTGAATTACACTTACTCATTTTGATCCTTTCTTCTCCTGTCCTCATTTTCAAATTGGATTTAAATACCTATTTTTCTAAATAATACCAATACTGAGATCTCTTTACAAAAATTTCCCAGACCACCCATTAGCACGGTATTTAAGTAATAATGTTGTATGATGAGTCCCTATCCCTACTTTTGCCAGTTTGACCACTAATTGTCCAGACAGCAATGCAATACTTTACAACAATAATTTGCAAGATTTACTTGTGTATTTTAAGGGAACTCCAGAAGTATTAACATACTTTGTATTTTTCAAAAAAGAAATCAGACTTTCATGCCACTTTCTCTACTAGTACATCTGGCTTCTTGGTTTATTACATTGTGCTCTCTTTGGAGATCACAGATGTGATTTTTAGGAGGGAAAAACACAAATCTCCGATAAGGAGAAGCTTGGGCTCTGATCCTGAAAACATATGTACACTTCTCACCACATCAAAATATATTCCCCTCCTTGAGAACCTAAGAGTTGGATGACTAATGTAGTGTAGTCTTCTGTAGGCAGATACATAATCTTTTCTGTATTGCACAGTATAAACAAGTAAATAATTATGAAGATTTATAAATAATAAATATTTTCAAATTCTTAATTATATCTAATCACCAAATGTGATAGTCAAAAATTATCCCTAAACAGATGCATTCTGACTCTAATGTAATCTAGGCCAGATTCTGAGATTTGTGTTTGTCTTTTTGTACATAATTGTGTCCTCACACCAAAATAAAAAAACAACATTAAGGCCTCTGAAAAAGCCCAGGCCACCATTTACCCAGGCCTGCATTTCCATATACCTCCCATCTACCAACCCATGTAAATTTGGCAACTTGTCCTTTCTTTAATTAATGCAGAGTACTCAAATATTTTACCAATATATGAACAGAAAAAAAGTAGGGAGAATGAATATGGAGTGATACCAAAACTTAAAACTATGTACCTTTGATAATTTATTGGTTCTTCTTTCATATAAGGCACATTAACAAATAATCTATCCTGCAACTAAAATGGATGTATTATCTTAAGAAATCTGATTCAAAGGCAAAGAAGATTACACTGTTACAATGTATAATTCATGTTATGAGCATGGCATTATAATTTAAATGTGGCAAACACATTTTGCTTCCTCAGCAATTATTTTTTAAAATCTGTGTCATATGTGATGAAGATGATTGTGTAAATGACTGTATCAACAATTTATATGATTTCTGTAATAAAAGCCTCTCAAATCTAAATCTTTTCTTCAGTATTTTTCAGTAAATTGGCACTTAAAGTGTATGCATAATAATGTATTTTGACAATATTAAATTTTTTTTAAGTAATAAAAATCAATCTGCCATAGTTTCAAAGTTCGCTGAATAGGCTTAAAATGCATCTCCAGTAGACTATGCTACTTTAGTGTTAAATAATGAGGTAGTACATTGTTCCAAAATAGTTCTGAATTATGTAAACCATTTGCTACATGCTGTTTGGATTTCATTTTTTGTTTAGAGCTGTTTGGTAAAGTAGTACTTTGTGTCTTCTCCAGCTTCCTGGTTTTGCTTTCCTTTTGTGGAAGCTGATTACTATAATTTTTTCTTTTACCTTTTGCTTTTTCTTCTTCACCTCCTTCTTCCTCCTCTCCCACATCGCCTTCTTCCTCTCCTCCTCCTTGTTCCTCCTCTCCCTCTTCCCCTTCTTCTCCCTCTTCCCTGTCTTCTTCCTCTCCTCCCTTTTCCTCTTCTCCCTCTTCCTCCTCTGCCTCCACTCCCTCTTCTCCCTCATCTTCAACTCCCTCTTCTTCTTCCTCCCCTGCTCCCTCATCTTCTTCCACTCCTTCTCTCTCTTCTTCTTCCCCTGCTCCCTCATCTTCTTCCACTCCTTCTCCCTCTTCTTCTTCCTCCCCTGCTCCCTCATCTTCTTCTACTCCTTCTCTCTCTTCTTCTTCTTCCCCTGCTCCCTCATCTTCTTCCACTCCTTCTCCCTCTTCTTCTTCCTCCGCTGCTACCTCATCTTCTTCCACCCCTTCTCCCTCTTCTTCATCTTCTTCTTTTTCTCCTTCCTCTCCTTCATTTTCCCACTCCTCTTCTTCCTTGTTTTCATCTTCTTCCCCCTCCTCCCCTTCTGCCTCTGCTCCTTCCTCTTCCTCATCTTCTCTTTCCCCTTCAACTTCATTCTCCTCCTCTTCTGTTTCTTCCTCTCCATCCTCCCCCCCATCCTTAACCCTCCTATTTGCATCCTCCTCTTCCTGTTCTTCTTCGGATACCTGTTCTTCTTCCCTTTCTGCCAGTGATTCTTCTAACTCCTCCTCTTCACCCTCTCTGTCTTTTTCATTCTCCATTTCTTTGGTTTCTTCTTCATTTTCCTTTTCATCTTCTCCTTCCTCTTCTGCCTCTACCTCTTTTTCTTCCTCCCCCTCTCTATCTTCACCTCCTTCCTCACTCTCATCTCTTCCCTCACTTTTAACTTGTCCCTTCTTTTCTTTTTCAGTGTATTCCTCTTTTGCATAGTCCTCCTCCACATCCTCTTCTTCACTCAGCATTTCTTCTTCCTCCAACAACCTGCCTTCCTCATCTCCTTGCTCTTTGCTATCTTTCCGATTAATCTCTTCAATCTCTTCTGCACCCTCATTCTCATTGTCTCTTTCAGCCTGTGATTCCTCTCTTTCATTTTCTTCCTCATTATCTTCTTCCTCTTCATCATCATTTCTTTCTACTGAAACTTCATCTCTATCTTTTTTAACCTCACTCTCTTCTTCCTCCCCTAGTTCACCTTCACTGTCAACTGTTTCGTCTAGATTTTCTTTTTCACTTTCACCCTTTTCACTGCCTTCACTCTCCTGATTAGATTCCTCCTCATTCTTAACTTCTAACTGCCCATCTTCATCAGATTTAGCTTCAGAGTTTGTTTCTTCTTCATTCAGGCTTTTTATACCAGTCTCTTCTACATATTCTTTCTCACTGTTTGTAGCTTGCATCTCCTCAATATCACTGTGTTCTTTTTCTAAGTCCAAACCTTTCACTTCTACTGTTTTCACTGCCTTCTGGACCTCTCTGCCTTCATAGTAGTTGTCTTCTTTTTCCCTACTCTTAAGTACATATTTTGGGAGATCATTACTACTTTCCTCAGTTGAAAATGATGACATAGTTGCAGCTATTTGTTTCAAAAATTGATCCTTTTTTTTAAGCCCTCTCTGGTCTTCACTATTTTCTTCTCTGACGAATATTCTTACACATTTATCAGAATTTTCAACAATATCCTTCATTTTGTTTTGACTTTCTATTGCTTGTTGGCTTCCTTGCTTTTTAACAGGACTGTATTTTTGTTCAACTAATGAATCACTCTGGGGCCAATCCTTAGATGCAGAAGGAAGTACATCTATTTCAAGGGATTGTTTAGATTTAACAGCTTTTGACTTTTTATTGGAAGACTTTGTTTTTTCAGTCAGAACTTGTTTTTCAGTGGGAAGATTATAAATTACACTCCCTCTGACAAATTCAGTATTTTCCACACATTCTTTTCCCCTTTTCACTAACTTGTGTTTGTTCTTAGTAATTTGCTGAATACCACTTTTCAACATACTAACACATTGTGTATGCTCAGATTTACCTTTGACTGTATTTTTTTTGGCCACAGGCTTTCCTATAAAGTCACTACTTTTTCCTAAATCTTGTCCTGGTGATTCTGAAAGTGAAGACTGCTTTTGTAAAGACCCGAAGTCTAATTTTGAGCCCTCTTTCATGAAATCAGAATCCTTGTTTTTCAGCCCACCCTTACCATCTCTTTTCAGTTTCACATTTTTATTGTTCTTCTATTCCAAATGAGAAGCAGAAAATTAAAAAGAAATAAAGAAAGCATTAAGGACAAATGGCAGCAAAAGAAAAAGATTACAAAAATATCTGAAAAAGAAAAGAAACAATTTGTGTGAGAGGACTAAGAGATATCATAAGAGGTAGAGTATTTAATATGAAATGAATTTAAAAGTGCACATATTAGAAGAATATAACATTCTGTTGATGGTAAATGTGCTACTACGCCTTTTTCACTATCCAAGCACTCAGATTGAATGCTGTAAGAACTGTGCAGCCTGTATCATGTCCCATAAGCTAAAGCACACGCAATGCGTGAAGCTGTGCAATTAGAAGGAAAGAACCACAGTTCTCTTATACCTTCCTCCATCCTTCCCCTTGGGAAATCTTCTGATGCACTCACTGTTATGCTCTTTCTAATAAGTTTGAATATCTGTTGTCTTTCTGCTTTAAAATTTACACTTATTTAACAAGTTCTGCAGAATAATTTTATAAATATAAAATAAAATTATAATTAAATGTACCAAAACGCTGAAATGCTGTGATCACTTTAGGAGTGAAATAGAAACATAATATAATAGTATTTTCATTCAATAATTAAACCCTCTATTATTGATCCTTTAAATACACTCTATGGTGAATATCTGTAAATAAAATCTTTACTTACACTGTATCGCAAAAGTCAATTAAAATGTTTTAATATCAACAAACCAGTAGAAATATGTTATCAGCTTAAGTTATAAAGGATATATGATAGCCTCTTGCTCCTTAAACTGGAGAAGTATTATATAATCTCATCTTAAACTGTGTTGAATATGAGTTCTATGTGCCTGCTTCAGTCAGCTTCTTAGAATTTTACCTCATAGATATTCAGAAAATTATCAAGAGGAGACCTATGAAATTTGCCTAGCTTTTTCAAATCTCAAAGCAAAACAATACGTACAAGGATAATACAAGAATTATAGATCTTTTAAACATCATACCTTTTGTTTTTGGAGTGGTGATAGTTTTAAGGACTGGTCACTGGGATTCAATTTCATTGCATGTGTCTGCAAAAAATAAGATCTCTATTAAAAAAATAAATATAACTATTAGGGAAAGTGGCATCAAAGCCCAGTTCTACTAATCAGAGCTATTATATGAACATTCTAATATTATTGAACAGTAAGGTTGAGACAAATCTGTCCGATCACTCAACTTGCCTATTTCACTTCCACTCCCTCAAATATTGCTAATAAAGAGAGAGTGGTAACCAGCTTAGATGTCAACACCTACACTGTTTATAGAGACCGAGAGTTACATGCCCTCTCTTACAGCCCACAAGCACATTTTAGATCCACCTTCCACTCACCATGAAGTTGTGGCTACCAATATAACACGTTATGCCCTTACCATCACAAAATTCAACTTAACATCCAGTTTGATACCACAGCCTTGAAAGCACATGTTCAAAGAAACATTACATAGCAGAAATTTTCATTGGAATCTAATGCTTTTATCTCTTCAACATAAAGCAAAATAATAAAAGGCAAGGCATTGTAGAATACTACTAGGTGGGCAAGTATAATGAGATTTTGGTCATCCCTTCCCATACACTCCAAATGACAAGATAACGTTCTCTACTGCTGTTTGTTAACTGCTTATGTTTTAACCACCATATCCTTTTTCAACGCAGTGAGCATGGACAGTTCTGGTTTCTGACTCCCAAGAATCTGTATCATCAATATGATACTAAAGGTTTTTCCTCCTCTTGTCACACCTCTCAATAAGATGAATGTTGTTACAGTTTAGAAAAATTGAAACAACTATGCTGTAACAGATTATTTTCAATCAGATTCAAGAAGAGCAATGACTTTTTTTGGTATTTTGACAAGTCTCCTTGACAGACTTTTTTAAGACTTACTGTTTCACTCTGATAAACATTTAAAAAATTACTCATGATGGGTACAAAAACAAAAAGGAGAAGGAAGACTAGCACATACAGTGTGTAGTATGTTATAAATAATGCCTCAGTAAATTAATGAAGGCCACGTTGTGCATCACAGCTGAAAATTTTTTTTCTTGAAAATGAAAATAAAGTTTTATAACTGTTAAATAAATGGTATGCACAAACAGATTGTTAAATCACTAAGTACTGTTAAGTACAAACACATAATTCCTGTAAAATGTGCAATCTCTCAAGCATAACTGACAACATAATCTGAGGCGAATCCACTGTTGCTCATTTGTTTCCATTCCACTGAAGTTAAAAAAAGGACAAAACCCAGTACTCTTTCCAGTGCACTGTGTTAAGGCCAGGACATACCCTATCTGCTGAGAGAACAAAATGTTTTGGAAAGGTGTACAAGTGATGAGGTGAACATATTTTTTAAATAAAAGAAATATGTAGGAACAGGCTTGAGGATCACTAAATAATCAAAATGTCTGTATTTTGGTCTTCCCTTTAATATGATTCACCTGTACTAAGAAAGCTCTTCTCAGAACAGGAAAAGACAGCTCTCTGCTTCATTTCCTGCAATTCTCTCTTGGAAATTATCGAGAAGAGGAAGGTCAGAGACAGAGATCACCACGTGGTATACAGTGTCCTTCTTTTCTTTATGATATCCAGAGCTAAAGCACGGGAAGGGACTGCACTACTTGGACTGCTTCAATCTCATATTACAACATTACTTGGAAAATGAAAACAAACTTTAGCATTAGACAATGATGACATGAAATGCACGTGCATTTAACATTATGTCAGTACTTCTTGGTGCCACATATGACATTCTGGGCTAGCCAGGTGTTCTGTACTAGAATTTGAAAGATGACGTAGCCTCTTCATTCTTCCCCTGCATAAAAAGATTGAATCACATATTCATTAGTGGAATTTATTACCATATTTAGGATGTCAGTTGTATCTCCAAGGTTTCTGTCACTATTTTCATTATCTGAATCTTCTGCAGAGCCTTCACCAGGTTTATCTTTTTGATGATCCTTTTCTTCAAGGTAAAATAGGGGGAAGTAAACAAATACCATAGCAACAAGCAATACATAGCAAACAGAACATGACACTCTTGTAAAATGGAGATTATTTCTATTTTACTGACATAGGACTGAAGTCCTGAGATTCCTCATTCCCCAAGTCTAAGACGCAACAAAAACACTTCCACCTCCTTTTTGTCAGTATTACATTATAGGTAGTTCAGCAATCTGGCCTCAGTTCACTGTAGATCTCTGACCATTTTTGCAGACTTTCAAAGCATAGATATTACACAAAACAAAGCTTCTTTTGGATAATCTCTTTAATAATAGTGTACCAATTAGACTAAGTCACCTGCAGTCGTATTACCTACATTGCACATTATCTGTGTAATGGATGGAGAGGCAGTCAGTTTAACTCCAATGCAGCATCATAAAAATGTACCTACATCATTTTCAGGTGCACCTCCACTTCATCAAGTATATGACCAGTTTCATATGGCACAAAACCTAAGGTTTTAGGCCTCGGAAGACTCTAAAGGCAATTCAAATTTCACTGTATTGCTTTCCTGGAACCAGAAATGCTAATGGACGTGCTGGCAGCTTTACAAATTATCATCTTAATTCTAACTGAATTAATAACTTTCAAATTGGATTTGATTGTTCAATAACTCTGAGCTAACTTTTACATGGAATAACTGCATTCTGCACTCTTCAGCATTGCTCTTCCCAGGAAATCACACATGCCCAGGAACCCTGGTGAAGTCCAGAACTGCTCTAGAGAATCTATGCAAAGTCCAGCGCTGTATCAGTGTCATTGTTATCCTGGCTTTTGCATTAGCTAGAATATTGCAAATCCTTATTATCTTAGATTACAGAGAGTAAAGAGTACTTTTGCATTTCCAAGTGAAGAATAAAGATCTTGTAAGAATTAGCAGAACCTCTTTTCTTATCCAAGGTCTCTTGTAGGTCTTCATGTATCTTTAAGATTGTTCCTAATAATTTTTTTTTCCTGTAATTCTTTTTCTTTTTTTTGTGAAAAAGGGGAAAGTGGTCACTAACATGATGGTATTTTTGTGAAGTCCTATTTCTACAGGCTTGAGGAACAATAGGTACAACTTAGAAGTTGTTTTTCTTTCACTCAGTGCTCCTCTAAATCTTTAAGGATGTTTTCCAAACATGAACAGTGTGAGGCAGTTTCTTGTATGCATTTCTCAACTTTCATGTCTCTATGCTGCCAGACCCTCTTGAGGTAAGACTGAACTTTCATGTTCAAACTAAGCATTTGTTTATAAATGATGAGAGCCAAACTACACAATTATTAGAAAACAGCAACAAGATGTGGGAACACTTCACCTTTTTCATGCTCTCTATCCTTCATAGGTTTAGCTTTAGGAAGACTTGTTGCAGAAAAATAGAGTGGGCTAGTGTTGCTAGTCACAGGCAGTGAAGATTTTAAGAAGCCTTCTCCCAGGGGAGGCAAAGTTCGTGCCATTCGAATAAACTGTTCTGGTGACTTTTCCTTTAGCAAATTTAAAAAAAAAATAAGAATAAGAATACAATAAAATGTAAGCAATGTGTCATACTTAACAGTGCTATTTTCTTTCAGTTGATGATATAGTGTTGTAACTTCTTATACAAAGCAAAAACAAAATTTCTTTAATATTTTAATTATTTGTAGTCCTAAAAAGTGGAGAGGTATATAGTGGGATATCTTAGGTCATTTCCACACCAAAATATCAAGCAGTCTTAAAATACAGACAAAGGAGAAAAATAACTTTGATTTTTATTTAAAATGAACATACTAGTCTCTCAAATAACACTGAGGTATTTAATCCACAATAACAACATATTTTCAGAAAATAAATGTGGTTTTGTGATAGAGTTAGCTTTCAGACAGGTAAGTAAAATGATCCAACTCGTTGTGCCATTCAAGGAAATCACATGTAATGTGTAGTCGAGATAAAGGAGAAGAAACTACTATTTTAAGCAGCTACAGGATCTTAGGACCATTTTAAGCTGATTGTGAAACTTTCTCCTATGATATTTTATAAACTAGTAATTTGTTTAATATACGCAAGGACTCTCAGGGAAAAATAAAAAGAATCAGGTTCTTGTTCTTTTTTTTTAAATATTTCTAAGATATTTTTAAAAATGCAAAGGAACAGGCTGTACATTTTAGAATTTTAAAAAAAACAGAAAATGAATTTGAGTCTTTTTCATAGAAATAATCAAGTAAAACTGACCAATACCTATCTTCTACCTGCATCAATTTTGGGACCAGAGTAGGTATTCACTCCTCTTTTTATACATTAAAATTAAACATGTATTTTAAGGAGATATATTTATCTGCTGGGTATATGCTGTGATTTTAGCTTTCCTAAAAGAAGTATGACAACTCTAAACAGCTCTGAATTTACCCTCTCTCGACGTCGCATTCGTGCTGATGTTAGCTGAAAGGTGTTTGTTAGTGCTGAGTCTCCACTCATTTTAGAGATAGTAGCAGTCAAATGGCTCTCATATATATCTTCCAGGAGTACTGCTTCAGATCCTTTAGGTCTTGGAGCAGCAAAAACTAGCATGTGACAACCACCACAAGCAACCTACAGCACCAAAAAAAGGTCTGATTATTTAATTTGTGTGTATCAATACAAGTATCTAATTTTCTTACAACCATCTCTAGGGGCTTAGATTATAAGAAAAACATAATAAAAGTAAGAGATATTAAACTGCTACAAATTTAGCTGCTAATGATGTTAGCAAGATAAAAGTACTTCAATTTATTAATGACTAGTGATCTATGTTCATTTCTTCTTACTTAAATACAATATATTTGCATTGAACAGAACACAGGATAGGACTATCAAATTACTGATATGGAAAAAAGCAATTTCCACTGATTTTCAAGAGATTTGAGATAATGATTTTGATGCAAGTCAAATGTGGACAATACTGATAGCTTCAGTGATACAAACCTAGATATTTATCACAAAATCTACAAAATGTAAAGCAAGCCCTACACCCTCCAATAGACAAGGTATAATTACATAAAGATCAGATTTTTCACTTTTTAAAAATTTTAAACCCCTTACCACTTCTGGTAAAACCTCCTTAAGTTCTGCTCTAAGTCCAGTAAACAAACAGAAGTGATCAACAGACTTTTGTCCCAAATTTTGCTCAATCCTGAGTCATGTTTTCATTTTTGATGTTGGAAATTCTGACATTTATTTCTAAAACATCTCAAGAAATTGATGAAAAAAATGCCCTTAAGAGAAAAGAGTATTTCTGCCTTCTCATCACATCTGGATTCAAAAAAGCAATTCCTCAAATTTTCTTAAGGCTTTAAACTATCCCACTGTACAAATCATCAAAATTAAGAAGATGACACTGTGGTATTTTCAGAACAGATATTCTTTTCCCCCTACTGCCAACAACTTAAGAACAACAAATACTTAATTTTATAGGCTACCACAGCTCTATAGATCAAAGCACTATAGCATAACACTACTGAATAAAACCCTAAAAAGCAGCCTGTATGTGTAGTCCAAGCCAAATACATTCTAAACTACATGAAAAGTATGGTAAGCAAGTATCATTTTCTTTTTCTTTCAATTTGTGTTGTCTACTAATTAAATGTTATAGAAAGAAATAGTTCTATAATGAGATTTCAACTCTCGCTAATAATGTGTTTCATAAAAAGAGAAATATTTTGATGTCTGAGAAGCATGAACAAAAGTTTTACCAAAAGGACTGTGAACCTCAAGAAGTTATAACACAGAGCGGGATCAAACTGATTTGTAAAATTCTCTTCTCCAAGGCCTAATTTGCCGTGTCGCCCATCTCCAAAAGTAAACATGAGGCCATTCTCTGTATGTGGAAAAAAGATGTTATTAAAAGATTCAATATAAAACCAAGACAAAACCATTACAAAGTAAGAGATCATGTAAGTAAGGAGTATTTCTCTTCCAAAAGCAAAGCCTGAACAATTATTTTTGGATTTTCAACAGATTAATATGATCAAAAAATATATGTATTTTCAGGCAAAGTACTGACATGAGAGTTAGCCTAGACAGTTTGTAAAAAAAAAAAAAAAAACAAACCCAAACCACCAACAAAATAATAAGATAGAAATTGCATAGAAATAAAGGCTTCTAAGCAAGAATACTCGTTAGCAAGGCACAATTACGAGGTTATAATTCCCCAGGATATACTAGGTACAGAGCTGTGCATGGTATGGCTATGAAACAGAAATTCCTAATATCGCAAATCTGTCTTTCTCACTTGCTCACTTAACCTTTAGAACTAGCAAGTTTGCATGTATCTTCTTCTACTGCTCATTTTATAAGTAAAGCTTTTACAGTATCACAGAGAGTAGCTGGAAGTGCATTTCAGAATTTTTCACTTACATACCTGCTATTACAGCAGTATGATTTTCCCCACACGTAATGTTACATATTTTATGCTTCCTCAAGTGTTTTACAGACTTTGGTACTGAAGTTTCAAAAATAAAAGTACCATGTCCCAGCTGCCCATATTGTCCAAGTCCAAAAGTATATACATCTGTCTCTGAAAATGTACAGACAAAGTTAACAACAAATATGCTGAGATAGATATATTATAGCCTGCTTTCTGTTAGACAAATGGAAATCAAATGACATCAGTATCAAAAAAGCAATGTTTTATCAGTTAAAAAACGTATCAACTAATCAATTACGTTTCTCAAGTAATAACAAAATAAGAAACAGGAAATGAAGCACTAAAATATGTAGAGAAAATAATTTTGAATGGTTCAATATGCAATACATTTTTTAACATAACTTCAGAATAATCCACTGATCATATGTACACAAAATATCAGCCAACAAAAAATTTATGGGAGTTTACATATTGCAATTAATTCAAGATTACAACGTTTACATATATGTGCATTTTCAAGTACATTAGTCTTATCTTAATTTCTGGTTACCTGCAGGTACACTGTATGACATTAAATTTAATAGACTAGACCTCTTTAAACCAGTCCTAATTTGTGTGTAAGAAGAGACTGGAACAATAACAGAATAGGTTTCAGTATTCTGTTCAGCTACCAAATCAGCCCAGAATTAAATACAGAGAACACTATAATTGTGTTATCTTGTGACAGAATAATAATCTTTCCACATTTGTATTTTGTCCATTTAATGGACTTGCTGTGCCAGGAAAAAGAATAAGAGCTTCTCCAAAGCAATAAAGATTCTTGGTGTGTCCAACCCTGGCACTCCATCACAACAGGGGAAGACTGTGAAGCTTGGAAATCTTGATGAGGTCATGCTTTAAAATGGAAATTCAAAGACTAACATTTTTGGGGAAAAGGACAAGTTTTCCTAGAATTTTATTCCCTGCTCCATTTTCTTCTGCATGCAGGGAACAAAGGAAAAGATGGAGAAGTACTACTTAAAGTACCTGAAAAATTGTTATGACAACCTGGGAAAGATTGGGAAGGACAAAAAATATTCTACATCAAGCAGAAAGAACTGAGACTTGGGAGCAATATATCACTACATCATTGTTATGAACATGGTACAGAACATGCCTGCCCCTGCCACATAGATAAACGTTACCTATGTAAAATAATATGTTTGGATAAGCGCCTAAGTTATACTGACACTATTTAATTTAGAATTAGACATACTACATTTAAACCTTCTAAGGAGGACAGGGAGTCATGGCTTTACTATGTAAGCCTGATTACTTTGTGTAAACAATGCAGGCCTTACTGAAGACTATGCCCTTGAGGAGGAACTGAAAGATTGGTAAAGAGAACATCCTGCCCAGAAGGTGTTGGAAGTTGAGTAAATGTCAAAGAAGCGTAAAGTCGGCAAAAATCTATGGTAACTGGGGGAAAGGTAAAGATGGCAAGGGGAGATTGTGACCACTGATTCAATTTAAGACCAGAAAGACTTGTCCTCCCTCGCCCTTTGAGTTTGTGCAGAATAATAAAAAGACACTGTAACTTTAAATCGAGATGAAGTATGTTGTTAACCAATGAGGAAAAAAGTAGTAAGAAACTAACCACTGGTCATTACAACAAACATGTATTCATGTAGTTTTAAGTGTATAAATATGTATCTTGTCTGTGTGCAGCGCGCTTGCTTTGTGGAATTACCACCTAGCACCCATCTTTGTGCAAACATGAAATAAATAAAATACCTCTGCTCTGTGTGTATATTGGCATATTGCACACCGGGTGAACGATCCCACTTATGGGACAACACCATCAACTCCAAAATCTCACACAGTTTTCAAAAGCAATATAGGAGTGGGCATCCACAGCAGAATGTGTGGAACAAGAATCGACAAAGAATCTGCTTTTTGAGAACTTCTTTGTGTCAATGAAACAGGGTAACTGAAATATCAAAGTTTCAGTACTGCAGAAGTAGTTTATATAGTGCAACCAAATTCTCAAAGCAGCCACAAGCTGGAGAAATATTAAAAAGAAATTATGTTACCATTCTCTCAAACTAATCCTTCACTACTGTCAGGAAAAGAAAAAGCAGAGGACAGACCAGATTCCATATTACTACCATAGGACACCTACTAACTTACATTGAACATTCCAATTTCAAAGGAACCATAATAAAATACTGTAACAGTACGTATGGAAATGTTCTTTCTGTGAAAGGGTTTGCCCTTTCTGCTCCTTTTAAATTATTCCATATTAAGATGTCATGAATTCACACCTTAAAAAAAGCCCAATGGTCTCATAATTTTTCAGATTGTAGATAAAAAATACTGAGTAAAGCTTAAAGCTGAGTTTTTTACTAAGCGTAATAGTAAAGCTCCCTCTGCTGGTGATTTAAGTGCAAGAAAGCAACACTTAGGCTCTTTAAAAAGTAAAACAAGTAAGAAATTTGCTGTAACATTTAGACTTTCTGTATAGGAATCAAGAAACTACACCTGAAAGATAGGAGCTTTCTCTAAGTGAACCAAAGTCTCATCTTCATTTTAGTAAATTACTTTCTCAGGGTCGCTGATTCCATAAATTCTGTTTAGAAGTACTGCATTTGTCTTAACATTTCTTTGAGAACTGGCAGATTTTGTAATTTTCAAATTATATGGCTTTATCTGATTAACATTGTTATTTTGAGTGGAGTTGGAGTTTTTTCACATTCTCTTTAATCCTAGCTTGAAACAGTCAATACCTTTTCTATTTGTGTGAACTTTAACTGTATAGGAAACTATTTTCTTTCTTCTGTTTGTCCTGACAATGAGGAGAATGGGCCAATGCAAAACGGGGTTATAATGCCTTAATAAGAAGAATGACTTCTTCTACTGCCCGTATACACCAGGGGCACCTAAATTTTGCTCCTCCTGAATTTGCTTATTATTCAATTATCAAGACACAGGGAGACAAAAACCTTACACCTTTCTTAAACGATTCACTGCTTTGGTGCAGAAGTGAAGCCAAACCTCTGTAATAATCTCATTTAGTAGAAGTGAGGTATTTTCTTCAATCTGTTTTTATAAATACATGGAAAGAGAAGTCTATGGCAAAGCAACCTCAGAGACTTAGTGATAAAATGACAGAGGTCAATTTCACCATTCTGAACTCAAATTTGTAAATGAATTTGCCTACAGCATGAATGCAAAAGGGGATATGGCCTCATGGTCACCACTTTCTTACTGTCCTCAGTCCCAGTAACAATATGGTTGGGCGAGACAAATAAAACATGCTGCCAGCAAAAGGGCAGATCCTGTTCCCCCATTCTCTCTCTTGAGTCCCCACTTGCATCGTCTCTGCTGCCCACCTGGCTATGAGGTGAGCCAGCCCAGCTGAGCTCACCAGGTTTTGGCGGGGTTTGCTGATATAGTCTCCCTATGGAATGGCCAAAGCAGCACCAGAGTGGTGCAAGGGGAGGAGAAAGACATGTGGCCAGAGCAGCATGAGGGAAGCAGCACTGCCTCCAGTGCATCAGTGAGTCAAAGAAAGGCTCGGCCGTGTTAGCAGCACACAGAAGAAACAGACGAGTCCTGTCTTGGCCTTGAGGAAGGAACTGCTGCCGCCACAGCAGCAGCAGCCCATGAGAAGGGCACTTGAAGGATGAAGAGAAATGGTTTCAGAGCTTGCACAGAAGCTGATGGCTTCACTGTTCCAAGTGACCTCCAGTACCAGAGTCCTGCGACTGCTTCTCCTTTACTTCCTACACTTTCTTTTTTGGAAGAACAGAGATATTTCCCTGCAACTGTGTATCTTCCACCTTTGCAGGCGTCTTCTGGATTATGTAACCGTTCTTTAATCTCCATGACTGTTGTCACTATAAATAAAATAGTCCTAGGCAAAAAATCTATACAGCTTTCAGATTTTTTTTTAACACATGCTGAAAGAACTGAGTGAGCTCTAAGAGTGTTTTTGAGATTCATGAATTCTTTGCTATGTATTTAAGGCTATAGACAGTCAAAAATCCATGGAAGAAAACCAGAAACAGGTATGCTTGAATCTCTCCATATAGATTAATTTCCCTTGAACATCATTATTAGTAGTAGTTTTACTATTACTACTACTGTTATGCCAATGGGCAATTCACTCTTACAATAGCTTTATTTTTAAACAGCTTATGCTGAGAAATGTTACTGTAAAAATCAGCTGCCAACACAATACTCAGTTCTACCAGAGCTAGTAATGGGATTTGGGGATTTCAGTATTAACAGTATACAGACTTAAGAATAGTTTGAAAAATCTAGATAATCCTATGTTTGAACAGTCAGTTCTGTCATGAAAAGGTAGATCTCTTTCACCCTTTTCATCTTCTTTCAAAAGGGTATCTTGACTTTCTTTTCTTTTTCAAAGACCTTGAGACAGAAGATGAAAAATCCAACATTTTACATACTAACACACTAATGTGCTGTATTGTTATGTCAAACAATCTTTTGTCAAAGGACTGCTTCACTTTTTCCTTTGAAGAGACATCTTTGCTTTCCTTCCTTTCAGAGAATAAAAGGAGGCAATATATCCTTTTATAGACAGGATTGTTTCCAGAGGATCTGTGATCACCTGAAAAAAACTGGAACATATTAAGGCCACTCCCAATCATCTGTTTCTTCTTGTCCAATTTCTAGATTCACAAGTTATTATTACTCCATGTTTTTTTTTAAAAAAAAGTTCACTTTTTTATTGAAAAAGTATGCAAATTGAGATTGCTGCTCTTTCATATTTCTTTTGAAAGTGACGATACCAACAGCTTTCATTTTCAGTAGGAAGCATTTGCAAGCAGTGTGGGTAGTGGATGCATTTTTTTTTAGTCTCTGAGAAAAGTCATCTGGGATGAGGATATGATCTCCTTGAACTGGCTGATTGTCATGAAATGAATGAGTTTGTGCTGCTACAGTGAGAGAAAGCTTTTGTGTGATAGAATTTTCAACTGTGATGCTGTTTATTCTCTAGAAAAAACGCAAATATTAAAGGCAGAAGAAACAATAAGACTTCTAAAGAAGATGGTTTTCAATACAATATTCAGCATTTCTAAAACCTTTTACCTTTAAGGAGTTTTTTTTCAAATCATTGCTCTCAACAGTTTAATTTTTTGTTCTCTGGGGAAAAAAAAATGAGTTTCCCATTTTGGAGTTTCAGAACAAAAAAAAAAAAAAAAGAAAAGAATTATTTTAATATATACTTTCTACCATTTACTCTGATACTTGCTGGAGAGATTCCAGACAGTAGCTTGATTTAATAACCCAGTAACAGTGATTCTTACCATACAAAATTGCCAATAGAATAGATAAGACAGTCATAAAAAAGAAATCAAATGAAGTGCTTTGGAATAGTCTAATTATGTATGACAGTCAGGAAGAAACTTGCCTTATACTCAGTAAGGTAACTGGATTATGCTTTCTTCTAATTTGATAAACTCTAAGTAGAACTGATGACAAGAAATGAGCCAAGATGTGCAACAGTCTCTCTGTATGACATTTTATCCTATTCTATTCCTATGTTAAATGAGATAAATGAAACAGAATATACAATAGTCAGACACTCACTCATTTTTTTAAGACTGAAATGACACACCCTGAAAAAAAGGTAAGACCCTGAAAAGATGAAAATCACATCAGTATGTACTGTGTTACTAAAGTCAAGCAACACCCATTTTCACAGAAGATGATACACGAAATTCAGTATTTCTTCAAAATTTTACTGCTTCCTTAATTTAGGAAAATTAGCTTACAGTAAGTATAAACGCTTATACCCCCCTTTAAAGACATATCTCTCATGAGAATTCTCAATTTGTGGTCATGCCACTTCATCTCAAGATGCAATATACACTTCAGTACTGATTTCAAGTTAAGTTTCTGGTGCAAAGCCTATAATGCAAGTGTGCTATACTCACTTTTAAATTATTTCAGTGTCCAAATCTATCTCTTTTCCCAATTTTCTCCCCAAATTTTGTTTTGAGTCAGAAAAATTTCTGTATGTTAACACTCCTGACGAAATGTATTTCACTTGAGACAGTATTCCCATCATCCTTTACTCTTTTGTTCAAAGTGTCTTACACTGAAGTTCACAGCTGTATCACATTAAAGAACATCTGACCTTTTACTCTTAACACAACAACTGCTAATCTTTAGGAAAATGTGTTTTGTTGCTGGATATTATTTTCCTCTCCTCTTGACTCAGATGGATCTTGGATACTATTTTCCTCTTCTCTTGACTCAACTGGATCTTCTCACACTTAATGCTTTGATCACCAACTGTCAGCTAAGTTAGCACTGAATTTCTTATATTCTCTCTACTACAAAATCTCTTCCCATAGGCAAGTGAATCTGACATACTAAGAAAATTACTTATTATGGTGTTTTCTTCACTGTAATTGTTTTTTCGGCATTTATATTTTGTCTCTTTGTTCTAGATCTTGTACAGATTTCACTATAATGATGATGTCATCCAGGTCTGTATCTTCCTACTAAATCTCTAGAAGTCATTTGTTATAATGAAATTTTATCACATGAAATACCAGTAAAACAAAGTATCTACTGGCTGGCTTCAGATTTATGGTTAAAAAAATAAACAAAAATGATAATAATTTTTTTCTGCAGAACTTCACTTTATAACCCATAAAATAATACTACGATTAATACATTTGCTAGCCCCAAATTTATGGTAATTTTTTTCCTAATAATGATAATGCTGATTTCATGTAAAGAAATTTATTTATGACATAGAATACTGCTAGAGTTAGACTGCATGTTGCTGGAAGAGGAGAGACAAAGGCATTGAAATGTAGACAAATGTTTGCATTATTTGCATAACCCCCATTTTTAGAAAGGGAAAAAAGGAAGACCCAGGGAACTACAGCCCTGTCAGTCTTCCCTCTGTGCCCAACAAGATCATGGAGCGGATCCTCCTGCAAACTGTTTTAGGACACATGGAATATAAGGGGGTGACTGGTGACACCAAACATGGCTTCACAAAGGGCAAATCATGCCTGACAAATTTGGTGGCCTTCTATGATTGGGGTTACAGCGTTAGTGGATAAAGGAAGAGCAACTGATGTCATCTACCTGGACTTGTGCAAAGCATCTGACTCTGTCCCACACGACATCTCTGCCTCTGAATTGGGAAGACATGGATTTGATGGATAGACCACTTGGTGGATAAAGAATTGGCTGGATGGTCACACTCAAGAGAGTTATGGTCAATGGCTCTATGTCCAACTGTAGAGCAGTGATGAGTGGTGTTTCTCAGGGGTCAGTATTGGGACCAGTGCTGTTTAACATCTTTGTCAGAGATGTGAACAGTGGGACTGAGTGCACCCTCGGCAAATTCATCGATGACGCCAAGCTGTGTGGTGCAGTCGAGATCCTGGAGGGAAGGGACACCATCCAGAGTGGCCTTGACAGGCTTGAGAGGTGAGCCTGTGAAAAACTCATGAAGTTCAACAAGGCCAAATGCAATGTCCTGCACATGGGTCAAGTGAGTGGATTGAGAGCAGCCCTGCAGGGAAGGACTTGGGGGTATTGGTGTATGGAAAACTGAATATGAGCTGCCAATGTGTGCTTGCAGCCCAGAAACCCAACTGTGTCCTGGGCTGCATCAAGAGAAGTGTGGCCAGCAGGTTGAGGGAAGGGATTCTGCCCCTCTACTCCACTCTTGTGAAACGCCCACCTGGAGTAATGAGTTCAGCTCTGGGGCCCCCAGTATAAGAAGGACATGGATCTGCTCAAGCGGATCCAGATTAGGGCCATGGAGATGATCAAGAGGCTGGAGCACCTCCCCTGTGAGGACAGGCTGAGAGAGTTGGGGTTGTTCAGCCTGGAGAAGAGAAGGCTCCGGGGAGACCTGATAGCAGCCTTCCAGTGCTTAAAGGGGGCTACAGGAAAGGTGGGGAGGGGCACTTTATCAGGGAGTGTAGGGATAGGACAAGGGGTAATGCTTTTAAAGTGAAAGAGGGCAGATTTAGGTTAGACATGAGGAAGAAATTATTTCATGTGAGGGTGGTGGTTCTGGCACAGGCTTCCCAGAGAAGCTGTGGCTGCCCCCTCCCTGGAAGGGTTCAAGGCCAGGCTGGACGGGGCTTTGAGCAACCTGGTCTGGTGGAATGTGTCCCTGCCCATGGCAGGGGGGTTGGAACGAGGTGATCTTTAAGGTCCCTTCAAATCATTCTATGATTCTATGATCCAATAGATTGGGCATCTCCATCACTATTAACAGACAGCTACTTAAAAAGTGACTTCCTAAATACCTTCCTAAATATTCAAGATCATTTAAATTTACTACAGAACGGAATCTTTCCTCTAAAATTTTCCCCCTCACACCAATACCACTTTCAAGCTCCTCAGAGGAAAGAAACATCCATCATCTTTGTTGCAGTAGAAGGTGCTGGCTTGTTACAAGTCCAGTTTAGAAAGGCAGTCAGACTTTGTAAAGTATCTCTTAAAATGCTATTTATTGGAGCTAAGACTATAAAGAAAAAGATGATAGTATCAATAATCTTATATCCCTTCAGATGCTGGGAATCCTGAGCTGTGTGGGATTGAATAGGTCTCCAGCCAGGCACAGCATGCTACACAGAGCCCATCTGTGGAAAGTTACCCCATTTTGGTCATTTGAGCTCTTATAGGATTTTCTTACAAGCAGAACAACTCTATTCATCATTTATACTGTCAAATAAAAAGGACATTCACATGGGAACTTGCTGATGAAGTTTTAGATAAAGGCAAGGAATGTAAGTGGGGCAACCAGTGGTACCAAGCAAGAGTTGCCTGTACGCTCCTCTGTTAAAATTAGCTGGTTAAATTTATTCTGTAGCCAAGGGATATGCATAGTACAGGCCTGTACTTAGGTTAACTGTTATGTGGATTTCTACCTCCTTGATGTACAATGGTCTGCCAGTTAGGATCACTACAGCATCTTACGTTTCAGTGGGATGTAAATTCTCTGAAGTCAAATGAAATTACCAATTAAGTTATAGGGCTGTTAAAAAAGCTAGTTAAATTGCATACCTGTCAGCACCACTGTGTGTTCTCCACCACAAGCAACCTTATTAACCTTTTCCATAATTCCCAGTACAGGCTGTGGGACTCTATTGTTCTTCAGCTGCTCAGGCAATAATCCCAGTTTCCCATTATCAGGTTCTCCAAAGGTATAGAGCTCACCATCTCCTGTGAAAATACAGAGTAGAGCAGGATTTCCAGCATGCACTCAGAAACAAGGATGCCATGTTAAGACTGCTGCAGACACGCATCAGTAAGATATAAAAGTATATGAACATCATGGGATAACTGAACATATATGTATAATGTCCAAACAGCTGTGCAAAGCAGTCTGCTTTGACGGGATGAGAAAAGGCTAAATTTTAGTCCCCTCCAAGATGAGAACCACAATATTTGGCCTTCAAGGAATCTAGTCAAGGGAAAAGCAAACCCATATATGTCCTGCTTTTGAGAGGTTATAATTCCCCCTGTAATCTGTATTTATGTAAACTGAAGTTGCTTGTAAGAATCTCAATTAAAACTGAAAATAATTTTACATGGAATTTTGATGGAATATCCACACTTTCTTCTTGTAAGATATAGAGAAAAAAATAAAAAAGTAGAGTAAATGACATGAAATTGTGTGTGGTCTGTACAGCAAGAAAAGTGCTATATATATCCAACAACAGGAATATAGCAGTGGTTCCATAGCAATAACTCCACTAGAATTAATTTCTTAATTAAAGAATTACTGAGAGGTCTTTACAGATTGCTTCCTTTAACTTCTTTCTGATCTGGTACATAATCATATAAGAAGACCCTTCTCATTTGCCCAGAATTTTTAAGAATCCAGTTCAAAAACTGTTCAATCCCAAATTTGACTAATTCATTTTACTGTCAAGTTTCCTTTGTTTCACCTTTTCCAATCACTCCCTTTGCTTTTTCACTGCTATGTAAGACTGAATTACCATTCAGTACAACATTCTATATATCCTTGTACCATAGTTAAAAAAAGAGAACATGTAAAATATACTTTCTATTGCTGTATTTACAAATTATCTATATTTATCTGTATCTTTTACATTTATCTACATTTTAGATTTATTTACATCTACATTTCTGAGTTTCTGTGCTAAGGGGCCCCCAACTATTCTAATAAGTCAGAGTGAGGTTTAGGTAGACAATGTTTCCATACTTCCAGAAAAGCTTCAATTTAATAGCTGAGTGTTCTCTACTCTTGAAAAAGATTACCTGTGAAGTAGTGTCCTCACCGCAAAATGTGGCCCACAATCTGAATTTGAAATTACTTAGCAAAAAAATCATCATAAACTATTATGTAAGAAAAAGTTTGGTTTTAATCCCAGTTGGATATAACAAAACACAAGGATTAAAAAAACCTCTCACATGGAGCTAGTCCAAGATAAAGAAATGTTTAAACTAGTGTAGGAGCTGCCTGCTAAAGGAAATTCAAAGAGATAGCTACAGTTATTAATCAACATAGTAACAAACCCCAGACATATACTCCATTATTAAAGCTCAGTCATCAGAAGCACCTATCTACAATATTTTTGGAAACATGCAGATTTGTACTTCAGTACAAAATGTACTTTTACTTTAAGAGAGATACATTTAGTGTTCAGAAATTTACTTTTACAGCATTTAGAGGCATTACTATTGCATGATGCACAAATATTTTTATTAAAAATCTATGAATTCCTCTCCAGCATGAAAGTTGGGTTGACCTTGGAAATGCTGGTCTTTTCCAATGAAAACAGATAAACTCAAAGAAAGCTTCAAAGCTGTAGCCTTATTTAGGTGTTCAGAATTGACGATTAGAGAAGTCCACCTCTCTCTCCATTAAACATAGCCAGAGCATAAGAAAACAAGCTTATTACTAGTTTTCTGTTAGCTTTTGTGAATATTCCTCCACTTGAGTAGCTGCTACATTTGTTGATTTTTCCTTGCACTTTGTCAGCCACAACTTAAAATTTTGGAATGTAAGGACAAAGGCAATGGCCAAAAAAATCAGCCTACAAAGAAATAGGAAATATGAAATAGCTAAAAGTAAACCTATGAATAAAAATGTAGAGAAAATGAACCTACATATGCATTCTAAAAAGCAAATGAGATCAGTCAAATTATTAAAAACAAGTTAATAAAAATTGAAGGATATGATTCAAGATGAACTGAAGTTTATTAAAACTTGGGCATACCAAGCCAAGACAGGAAAGGAATTTTATCTTTTTGAATTTTTAATTCTGATGATGAGAAAGTAAAAACTGGTGTCAGTAAGAAATGTTTCATTTTTTATTGAATCTGCCTGAGCTTTACTCTGGCAATACACTCATTTAAAATTTCCTTTTGCATGAATAAAAACTGAGCAAGAATTTCAGGCTGCAAAACCGCATCTTCATTTTGTATAACTATGGACAACTAGTTAGTAATACATTTTCATTTATGTCATCTGGTAAATCTAATAGATAAACCAGATTCAAAATGTTTTTCCTGGAAAACTCTTTTGCCAGCAATATATATATGTATATTTTTTTTTTCTTTGTGGCACTTGGATCTTGATTACTTTGTGTTACACAATGACTACAGCCGTGGGTGCAGAACAGAGCAGCACAGACTACTTTTGCCAGGACCCTCCATCAGAAGGGCTTTGAGTCAGTCTGAAAAGCCTTAAACTACTATGTCTTTTAATAAAGCAGTGCTTCTTCTCCCATTCTCTCAGATTAAGTAATTCTGGAGCAGTCATGTTGATCTGTGATGTATGTTACCTTCGGTATCGACAGTCCACAATAAGCAAAAACCATAATGATCTATTTTCTTCAAAGGAAGCCTGAGAATAGGTTTTCAGTGAATTTTGACTATAAGGAGAATTTGAAGTACAACTCTTATTTTACAGTAAAGTTCATTCAGGACAAAAAAAAAAAAAAAAAAAAAAAAAAAGAGGTTATACATTTTTTAACATGTCACCTTCAAATTAATTTAAATGCATAAATTTACCAATTAACTTGAAAGTTCTGAAAAAAATGTATGATATATTCAAAGAGTAAAAACTATAAAAAGATTTTTTTTCAAAAAAGCCAAATCCCTGCTTTAAATGGAAAATTGGTTCTAAGCCTCAACATAAAGTTGTAACCCAGTACTTTCACCAAAGATTTAGAATCTAACTTTGATGTCACAATATTTATTTGTAAAGCTTACAAGACCTAAGAATTTATCCTCTACCTTAGTCAAAGAAATGCCAGACTATTTTATATGGCTTCTATATTTTCTGAGATCACTTCTGCCTCTCTCAATGGCAGAGATGTGTCATGTATCATGTTCCTGGGCCACTAAGACTAGCAACCGGACTTCTTATCTTTACTGAATGCTCCAACTGCACAGCGAGGCAATTAGGGAATGACAATAATACCATTTTACTCAATCTCAAGCTTCCTGCAGGGCTTCACAGGGCTCAGGCTATTAAGAGCAGCCACGCACAGTCTATTCACAGAGCTACATTCTCCTCAGCAAGACAATGAAACAGGACAGCAGCTGTATTTCCCAACTATTAGCATCAGAGGTGTAACCACATCCTCCCAGTTGTCCTGATTTTTTCTATCATTCTGACATTCTCTTCCTGAACACACTAATTACCCCAATAATATTATAACACTTCATTTACCTGCATATATCTGTGTAGAAATACCCTTGTTGCATTCTTCTACACTTCTTTTCTAAGAGGTGTTTTGCAGTCATTTTGATGTCTATGTTTTTTAAACAGCAAATGATCTCAGCTGCAGAAAAGTGTATTTCGTTTCATTTCTAAACCATGGATTGTGTTTAGACTTCTCTGTTTAGTTTGATTTGCTGTTTTAATTCTGATCTCTATTCTTATACCTATGTGCAGAAATACTCTGAACAGGCTGAAACATTGCAGTTATTTGCAGCAGTATTAATTTTCTATTCTAAAACAGTAGCCCAATTAACAACAAAAAAAATCAACTGCAATGTGAGGTTTCCTGTAACCAAAACGTTCCATTGACAAAAAGAGATTTTATTAGGGATTATAGATGAAAAGAAAGAAAAAAAAAAAAAAAAAAACAACACAAAGAACCCTGTATTTTTTGGAAGGTAAGTATTGTTTTAAAACTCTTGTATCTGCCATAGATTTCTAGGAACAAGCTGATAAGCCACCAAAAGCACTTGGGAGTTTACTTATGCAGTTCCTTTTGAGGAGACCAGCACTTCTTTTTAAATGCTACTGCACTGCAAATATTAATCCAATCATGATCTAATTGTAAGAAACTATGAACTAAGGGTATTGTTTATTGAAATTTATGTTAAGCTCAATGTAAAGGTTAGGCGGCAAAAGACAGAAAAACTGCTTATGCAAATAGCTGCCAGACACCGCTTGTGTGAGACAAGATAACCTGTGAGACAAGATGACCGCGTGAGACAAGATAACCGCAATTGCTTACACAAACCAGATACTTGTGCAAGCAGAAGGGGTACTGATCAAAGACAACCACGAATGTAAAAATGTATAAAAAAGGAACTGTTTGAACTGATCAGTACGGCAGTTGGCGGAGCGCAGACTCCCCTGTCGTCCAGCGCTGTCTTTGCTCATATTCTACTTGCTATAATTAATAAAATTATAATTGGATTATGATCCATTGTGGTCTCAATTTATAACAATTTCATGGTGCCGTGACTCGGATAAGGAACGGTGGGCTTCTGTCCTCCGGGGAGGCGCCCCGCGGCAATCCGCGGCCCCGCGACTGATAGCCCACCCCATCCTTACCGACGAACCTAAATTCTAGAATAATGAGCAAAGGAGAAACCGGTAAAATCCCATAAAAATTCTGTGCACGGGAGTCCGGACGAAGACGCAGGATGCGTAAGTATATTGCGAATTTGTTCGCGGGTTTACCGTTCGGGCGGGATTGGGTTTCCTGGATTATAACGAATGAGAGGTTCGATATACTGAACCAAGCGAGTGCGGACCCTTAAGTACTGCGTTTCCCATTTCCCGCGAGGGACTGGGCCAGGAACAAGGGGAGCAAGTGAGTGTGTGTTTGTGGATAATCCAGAAGATGGGGGCGAAGGGCAGCAAGCCTTCGACTCCCATGGGAAGGGTACCCACTGTACCTAAGAATACCCCTCTGGCATATATCTTAGACAATTGGAGATATTTCCCT